CAAAATGGTTGCCTTGACCTTTACCCAGAATGTCAAAAAACTAATCTGTTTTAGATTTTCATACTAAGAATCATCCCTGAAAATTTGAAATTGATCTACTAAATGGTTCACCTGAAAACGCATAGACAAGACTTTACAGACAAGATTTTAGGACGGAAAATCCAAAATGGCTGCCTTGACATTTACGCAGAATGCCAAAAAACTAATCAGATCTAGATTTTCATACTAAGAATCATCCCTGAAAATTTGAAATTGATCTACCAAACAGTTCACCTAGAAATGCATAGACAAGACTTTACAGGCAAGATTTTAAGACGGAAAATCCAAAATGGCCGATAATATAAAAGTGATTTCGAGTTTTTGCTGATTTCTTTTTACAAAACTATCACATATAACTAATGTTAACAATAACATAGGCTTTTACAATAAAGTACACCTGAAATTATTTATAAAGCTACTAAATAGTTAGAGTATGAAAACTCAAAAACACCATTCAATGTGATATAGTATTATCACGCGCTAACTTTTCTTAAGACATTCAGAATGGCTGACATGACTGAGCTAACAGGTCCAAAACCTAATCAGTTGTAGAATGAAGTGAGCTGAACAAGATTTTAAAGTTTTAAAAGCAACTGTGGAGCTGTTTTTCTTAAAGTTGCAGACAAGGATTTTAGCATTTGACTTCAAAATGGCCGACAGGAAGTACAGGGTGGGCCAATAAAAATTGGAACATTTTTCTATCTACTCAATTTTCTTCATTATTGCTGTTGAATCTACAAAAATTCAGGTAATGGTAAAATGATTATTTGTGAAAATATTAAAATAAAAATATGTTCTGTATGATTATTTTTGGCTCGTCATGGTCATGATCTGTATTCTGTGTGTGTCATGAAAAATTTCCAAATTTTCTCTGCTTGAGACATCATTGCTCAAAATACAGTATCTCATACCATACAATATATGCCTTTCAAATGGTCTCAACACACTTTCTATCAATTAAAACTAATATGTAGTTATCTCTAACAAAAGCAAGACATGTCTCCCTTGGATAATATAGCTTAACTGACCTCACTTTTTTCAAAACTGGCACAATACACTGTATGTCTCAATCCTGTCATTTAAGCCATGCATGACTGTCAAATACAGCTCTTGTATATGTTGGATTGCTTGTAAATTGGCTCATAAAGTCTGTAAACTCTTATATTTTGATGCTTCTCTACCATGCATAGCCGTAGGCAGCGGGGGTTCGGTGGGTTCGAACGAACCCCCGGTCAGGATTTCTCAAAATATCATTTTGGTGAAAATAACCAGAAACATTACTGTGCTATTTGAAAACTACATAATAATATGAGCAGTAAATGAATTGATATTTGTTATGGTGAACACGAGAGCCTAATTTTGTTAAAAACATGTCATAGTGAAGTTACACTTCCCTCAGAACGTTTGGCAACCTTAGGCACGGGGTGAGATTCAATTTTGGGAAGACCCCAGAGCATGAGATTTTACATTTAGAAATAACAATAATTTCGCACAATTAACTTAAAAGCTGCTTCTTCTCGACAAAATAACCCATCTTGGGCAATGGCTAAATCAGTCCTTTGTAGGAATTTTGTTTTAAGCCAGTTCTGGTCCAATACGAAGATATTGAAACTAGTTACTGTAGTGAAAACAATGCAGACGTCCCATACTCCGAATGATTTTTACAACATTGACGAATAAATATCTGGAAAAGTCATAATATTGATGAAACACATGTTCTTTCAAATATGTACATCTCTGTTTTGTTTTATTTAAATTTAAATTTAAAATATTTCTCGGGACGTCCCTGGGGCTGGCGTAGTCCCCGAAACCAATTCGTTAAATAATTAAAAATGTTGTGAAATTAATTATTTATAAGCGTATATCATTTATAAACACAAGCATTTGTTCAAATTTATTCATTCTTTCAATTGTTCAGTATTTATTTACCCATCACTTTCCAAAGAAAAATCAATCATTGCAAGAAATGATTTTGTTCTTTTCAGATACACTCCACTCATCTAAGAGATTGTATGGAATACAAATTGTTATCGTTCCAGTTTACTTGCTCTCCATTTTCATGTTAATGTCATGATATGTTTAGCGAATAAATTACATAATAAAAAAACATTGAAAATCATATGGTATTAATCTTCAAATAATGAAAGCTTTATTTGTTATCAAGCCGTCTGAACTTAACAAAATACGTTTTATAGTCGCTTGTATTTATATCCACCAAAACGTTTTTATTATCAGTTGCAGTTAATCTGCTCCGGGGAACTTACCACTCCGGGGATGTCCAAAGCAATATTTTTAACTTTTTAAAACAAAGCATAACCGAGACCCACTTATTTGAATAATAGATATTTTCATCAGTAATACGACTATCCCGGATAGTTTAAAAAGCCTTCGTATAAACGTTGTGAAAAGTTATCAAAGAACGACCTTTCACAGTACAGGGTGTTTGCGCCAATTTCAATAACCTTGCAGTTGATCCGAACTGGCTTCGAACAAAATTCCTGAAAAATAATGACAAGCCATTGCATGAGGTGATTTATTTTGTCCTAGATGAAGTAGCTTATAAAGAATAAATTGTGCGAAATAGTTGATATTCCTTGGAAACAAATCATGCTCCAGGATCTTCTAGAAGTCAGACGAAATAATGCTGGATTCGGGGCAAATCACATTTCAGGATATGTATTCAGTAAAAGATTCACCGAAATATATTTTGATGCAGAAAATTAATTGTAAGTTGTCTGACTTTTTTGAACGTTGCCTAAAGTGAACATTTACACTGTGGTCCAAAACGTCATAAAAAAGTAACATTGAAATAAAGCCGATGCGTTTTAAAGATGTCACTGCGCTAGAGGATATATGCACTTTTCGTTCGGCGTAATCGTCATAACAACCACTGCCATGATGGGGAATTTATGAAAATTGGTAACTAATCTTCGTTTTTATGTTCAAACGACAATAAAATGCAAGAATTACATGTAGAATTTATATGAATGTAATCTAGTAATGTAGTTTGATTGGGAGATTGGTGGGCGATAATAAGTGTTTCCCGGGAATACATAGAATGTTCACAATACATTTCTATCAGATCTAAAATTGTCAGTTTTCGTGCAAAAGTCCTGAAATTTTCGCAGAAGTTACAAAAAATAAAAACAAAATTTCTCAGATTTTATTTTTTTCAAATAGACGCATTATCTTGAAGTTGTGGCAGGTTTAGTGCCAATGCATAACAAAGCGACAGTGGGCTTATTCAACAAAGCCATAATAAAATTATATTGTCACAAATTGGCCAAGATACACGGCAAAATGCACAAGAAACTCACCTTTTACGATAATTCCAAAAAGTTTGAGCATTCCGTAATTTGTTTTCACAAATTCAGAGCATAAAGTCGGTTAATTTTCACTCCTCTCTCGAAAAAGAGTAGAATAACTCTCATGTTCTTTCAAAGATGGCGCCACGCTGCTTACCCCGTCAGACGAATCCTGGGACCACAGTGCAGTGAGTGTTAAGTTAGAAAGCTACAAGGTCATTTTTGAAAATCGTTTTTACGTCCTGTGTTATTTCAATGGGAGAGGTTTCTTGATAAAGCCTATTACTTTCAGACTTTGCTTAACGTAAATAAAGACATCATATTCAATTGTCTACTTAATTTAATGAAGGTATTAATATGAATTATATATTCCCCTCCTTTTCTTTACAAATTATGCATATAAAATTGAAACTTAAAGATGCTTTAATACATAATCCAATGGGTTAGTTAGGTTTGCCAAACTTTTGGAGAGAGTGTAATTGTACAAATTGCATTATTTGAGGAACCCTAATAAGGGGGGGGGGGATTTGTGAATAACATAAAAATAGAACCCCCGGTCACCAAATCCTGGCTACGCCACTGCCATGTTAATTCTCAAAAAATAACATGGCGGACGGACCTCAAATTACAAGAGGTTAGAGGGCACAGGCTTATTGCACGAAACACTAAATAATCTGAAATATACAAATGTCATTTGTGTGCAATATGAATATATTTTTCTATATATTATGGCACAATGGTCTATAGATTTCTTATTTTTCAGGTTCAACTGCTTGCCTTTGAAGCAGTGTAACAGACTGTAATGTTTTAATTTGAGGTCAAAGTCCGAAAATTTGATCAACTGATTTAAATCACTGTTTAAACAGGTGAAGAAGTGAATAATAACAGGAGCAAACGTGATCCATGGATGTCAAGTACGTTTCTGGCGAAAACTCGAGCATAGATTATAAAGAGGACTGGAAACAAGATGGCAGTCTATTTCAATTCTGCCAATTCGTTTTGGCCTATTTATCACTATTGACTCAGTTGTTCATCTAGTTTTTCTTACCTTAGATGCTTAGTAATCTATTTAGTATAATATTGTTGTCATTTGCGATAATTAGAACTAAAAGTACTTTGAACAGGTCAGCTGCCATTTGCTTGGCTTAATCGTACCAGTCCACAAAAACAGTGAAATCATATAAATATACCAATAAAACTTAATAATTGAGGCAGATGCGATACAAAAAGACTCATTGAAACAGTGAAATCATATTAAAAATACCAATAAAACTTTAGAATTGAGGCAGATGCAATGCAAAAAGACTCTATTAATACAGATATACAGGTTACAGTCACCAAGATGAGCTAATTTCAGGCGAGATTCGGGAAATAAAAAGGTAGGTCATTCTTGTTTCCAGTCCTCTAAATAATCTATGCTCCGGCTTTCGCCAGAAACTTACTTGATGTCCGTGACATGATCAATGGTTCAAGGTCTCCCGCAAATTACTTAGTTTGCACAAAGAGATTCAAATATAGTAACCCGCAAAGTAGTCGCTACGCTCCTACTTTGCGTTGCCTTTGGCAGAGGAGACCTCGATAAAAGGCTCCATGGCCTAATTGGAGAGCATCTTTAAATTTGATGAATCAATATATAAAGATGAAATCAAAACAAACCTTGGTCCCATGAGCCACCACGATTGTTCTTGAATCTCTGTGAGTTTCCAGTTTTATTTTCTTTCCATCTAATCCACTTCCTTTCAGAGGACTCAAATCACTTTTACTTGTCTTCTTACGCTTTTTATCCGGTGCATCCTTGCTTGTACTCGACATTTCAAACTGAACTGAGATGACTATTTATGTTAGTCTCAGGAAAGGAAAAAGAAATATTCTTTTTCGCGTGGAAAGCCTGGATCGGAGTGAATCATAAAGTTTTCGTTCAGTGCAATCCGTACCTCCTTTACTTACCTCAGTTCTTAAATTCCCGCGAAATTCACATTCTATCTATTGCAAGACTTATGCCTTGCACAACCGTCACCATGTTAGCTATTTTTAGTTTCGCAAGGATCCTGCCATGACCGTGGTATTGTTATGGTGAAGGCCTGGTATATCTGTGACAATGCTATATTATATTGTAAGGCCTGATATGACCGTGACAATGCTATATTTAGAGGTTATGTCACTATGACGTGAAATATGCCTGAGTTCTCCCAATATAGGCCGACCTTGGGAGGCTCTATATTTGGGCAAGAACGAAGGCATATTTCACGTCATAGTGACATAACTGATGTATTACATGCCTTTGTTCCCATGGTTACTTTGTATCAATGACGTGACGTCATGATATTATCATGGTTATTAAAGAAATCTAATATCAAAACGAGGTAAGCGGGCTATATCGGGGTAATCGGGCAATATCGGTGGATATAGCTCGCTAACTTTCCCATTGACTTCCATACAAATGCTTCGCTAGGTATGTAATACTATATTGTAAGGCCTGTCATGACCGTGGTAAAGCCTTATATGGCTGTGGCAATTGTTGTAAAGCCTGCCATGACCGTGATAATGTTCAAGTTCTTGAATGAGATTAGAATTATAGTTTGTGGAAATGAATTATGAGTTAAAGTAGTAGTAGTAGTAGTCTAGATTTACATATTTAATGTAGATAAACAATGAAATTGTTCATTACAGTATTCTCATGCTACTAAATGTCACTTAATAATAATATAACCATTATCACAGTCATATTGTGTTTTAACATTACCACAGTCATGACAGGCCTTGCAACCAATGTCACGGTCATATCAGGCTTTAACATTACCATGGTCATGGCAGGCCTTGCTACCATTGTCACGGTCATATCAGGCTTTAACATCACCACGGTCATGTCAGGCCTTGAATATAGCATTGTCATGGTCATATCAGGCTTAAACATTACCACGGTCATGTCAGGCCTTGCAATATAGTATAGCATTGTCACGGTCATATCAGGCTGTAATGTTACCACGGTCATGACAGGCCATGCAATTTAATATAGCATTGTCACGGTTATACCAGGCTATCACGATAACACTACCACGGTCATGGCAGGATCCTTGCGAAACTTAAAAACACGGACGTCAAGTAAGTTTCTGGTGAAAGACGGAGCATAGATTATTTAGAGGACTGGAAACAAGAATGACCTACCTTTTTATTTCCCGAATCTTGACTGAAATTAGCTCATCTTGGTGACTGTAACCTGTATATCTGTATTAATAGAGTCTTTTTGTATTGCATCTGCCTCAATTCTAAAGTTTTATTGGTATTTTTAATATGATTTCACTGTTTTTGTGGACTGGTACGATTAAGCCAAGCAAATGGCAGCTGACCTGTTCAAAGTACTTATAGTACTAATTATCGCAAATGACAATAATTTTGGAAACAATATTATACTAAATAGATTACTAAGCATCTAAGGTAAGTCATCATCATCATCAGATACTCAATTCTGTCAGATTTGACAATTTTATTGAGGGTGGCAAGATAAAAAGATTTGTGTATGTACAATTTAAAAGCAGGTTAAAAACAGTTTAAAAACAGAGTGGGATCTTAGTTGGTCCTCTTCCTCAGGGCATCACGGTAGGCCTCGATGGTGGGTAGGCTTGTGACATCTCTGGGAAGGGCGTTCCAGTCCACAATTGTGCGGGGGAAGAAGGAGTATTTCAGGGAGTCTTTTCTGCAACTGTATAGCTGGTATGAATCTTGGTGGGCAGACCTGGTCAATCTAGTGGGTGGAGTAAGGTAGGTGGTGTGGCGAATGGCTACTAGGGCGTTGTAAAACTAGATGAACAACTGAGTCAATAGTGATAAATAGGCCAACACGAATTGGCAGAATTGAAATAGACTGCCATCTTGTTTCCAGTCCTCTTAAATAATCTATGCTCCAGCTTTCGCCAGAAACGTACTTGACGTCCGTGCTTAAAACACTTAATAACATGACGACGGTTGTGCCAGGCATAAGTCTTGCAACAGATAGGGTCTCCCAAATTATTGATCACGTGACTGCAAGTCTCGCGACCCCGAGTGTGTGACTTGTAACGAGAGGGTCCGAACGCGATCCGGAATGATCCGGAAATAAAAAGGGAAAATAAAAAAGCAACAATATCTCCAGTACATATGGATAAGGACCACAATTGGTATAGTTAAGCAGATAGCGCACTCAATTATCAACTCATTGGGGTCTTTCCAGGAGCAAATAACCCAGAGGAAAGAGCCAAAAGGTGAGTTACATTATTACGTGTCACGGTGACCTCCGAAAGAATACAAGATTTTCATTTTGTCTCTCTTTTTGGAGGGCCACTGTATGGTCCACTGTATCATGCGGTACTATAACTTCGACCGTTAATTTGAATTTTTGACCTACCAGATGTTTGAAAATCAAGGATTGTGAGTCTCACACTGCACCGTTTTTCTTCAAACTTGTTCCATTCAAAGCATAAAAATGCAAAAACATTAGATCTACTATTCTATACACAGTCAGAGAGAATGTTTCTGGCAAAATTCTGGGATTGTATAAATATAGTTCCAGGGCAATTCGAAGAACGTATTAGATGTCCGTGATTCTATAGGCTATACAGAGTCCCTACTTTCAGCGGCATTTGGGTCCCAAGCTGTCATGGGCGTAGCGCCTGGTACGCTGGGTACGCACAGGCATACCAGATGGTTGCAAATTTGCTCCTAATACAACCAAATTTCAAAATTTTCCTGGGGGACCCCCCTAAATGCTCGTTTTTTGATTAACTCCACTCTTGTTCCCGTTGTGGTGGCGTACAGAAAAATAGCGCTACGCCCATGGCTGTGAGAAGGGCTTCTCTCAACTGGGGACCAAAAGGCTGCTATAAACGAGGGTCTCTTTACAATTTATTTAAAGCAATGCACCAACAGAAAGACAATTTTATTTTGCTTTGAATGGAACAAGTTTGACGAAAAACTGTGCAGTTTGAGACTCGCAATCCTTGATTTTCAAACACCTGGCAGGTCAAAAATTCAAATTAACGGTCGAAGTTAGATTGTCCATTTTGCAAGCTCACGTGACTGATCACAAGACACATGTCCGATCACGTGACACATGTCTGATCACATGATTAGTTACGGTATCGATCATGTGACTTAATGATGTGTTACCCAACCATGTCTTCAAGGAAAATGGTAGTAAATATTTTGGAAAATGTTTTGCGAGCATTTGCTACTGATTATAGAAGGCCCAATTATGCAACAAACGAAACTGCTAAATTCTATTTCGTGCCTAACAGGCCCAGTATGCAACAACAGAAACTGCTAAATTGTATTTTTAGTCTGCATATTGATCTATTGATTCATAAAGATTAAAGACCTGAAATGATGCATTGAAATAAGACTGCCTCCTAATACTACATATTTGTATATTCAGTCAAGTTTAGACTGTGGAAACAGTCATGATTTGCCAGCTTACTGTAATAGGGTAATTTTCTAACGAGTATCAGCTTACTATACTTTAACAAAAATCATAAATAAAATACGATAAAATCGAAGCTTTATTCCCCAGCATAAAATTACAATGAAAAGTCATGTTAAAAAGTTAAAATGTCAGAAGATCTAATTGTATCCAAGTGCTTTGGAAATCCCAGTATTAAAAGTTTTTAATCCTGATATTAAAAGTTTTAATCCTGTTATTAATTGTCCTGAGTCTATCGAATGCGGGTAATCACTCAAATTGTCACTCATAATGTCAGGATGTCAGGTTTTCCGAGTCAGTAAAATGAATCAAAATTATATTAGAGGTGTCAGCTTAGCAATATTTTATTTGGCTTTACATTTAGGGGTGTCAGGTCAGCAAACTTTTATTCGGCAATAAGAATTTTAATCCAATTCGGAAAATAAAGCACCCGGATTTAATACATGTTATACAGTAGTTGTGGAATAGTACAAGTGAAATGTATTATTTTAGTCTTAATTAGTAGCTGTGGTGGTTTGTAAAATGATTTTAAAATCAACTCATGATGATAGTTTGAAATAAATCTTTTGCTTTCAGACAGGTGTGATAGAATAGCCATGACACCTATTTGTTATACTGCTTTGCTGTGATGGATCTGCGACAACTAGAAGGAAAGATCAAAGATTCAGTCCGTCGGCTACGCAAGGTAAGGTTGCAGTTTAGCTCAATCATAATTCATGTTTCAGACTGGAAACCCTGTGAATCTTTGGTAGCCACAATAGCCAATCAGATTTTCTGATTTAAACATAGCAGGATCATTGCTCCTGGATTGAGGTAGTAGGCAGAAAATATATTTATCTGTTAACAGAAGAATCAAAACCCCTTTACAAGCAATCAAACCTCATTTGTTTGTTCAATAATTAATGGTCCCCACCTGGTTATAAAGACGTTAAATCCTGGTTGCTGAAGTGAGGAATTCTCACTCGATTATTTGAGCCATTCGATGTATATACTTGTTGCTGTTTCGTCTGGATGTTAAATTAATGCCGTAGCGGCAATACGGGTCAAATATTTGGATACAGATCAACCTCCTTCTTGGTGAAAATAAAAATTTCCTCCGACAAAAAGTCATCCATTTTATTATCAAGATGTAACATCTTTATAACCAGATGGGAACCAGTGATAAAACATGAATAATGTTGGAAAAGTTTCGTAACTTTTTTTCTCTAATTTTTTAACAATTTTCCATGTGTGTAGCATGTACTTTGAATTGAGTAGGTCACTGCCATCTGTAGCATCCCTTAATAAATGATTGAACCATTTGAAGACATTTGATTCATATCTACCCGTTCAAATAGAATGGCTTAAGGCATGTAAATGGTTATAGTATAAATCACTTTTCCCAAATAATTTTTTAAAATATCCCTACTATTAGCAACATTTTACAATAGCCGTTCACCATTCCTTCTTATTCCTATAAGTTAAGTTTTTAATTTCATCTCTGTTTTGAAGTAGGTTCCTAGTACATACTGTACATGACACATGTACATACATATTTATTTTAATTATATAAAAGATAAAAAAGTTATTTACTATCATTAACTTGAACACTATTTTAATAGACTAGATACGAGTAGATCCCATGTTATAAAATCACAAAAGTGAAATATCAGATCTTTTTTTTTATTGGACAAATAACTTTTGTTTTATTAGACATAAAAAAACACTAAAAATATTTAGAAAAAGGTTGATAATAAGTTGATCACTGTGTTGCCCTTTGTGTTCCCTGATTTAGAATGACAAAATGTCACAAATTACAATATAAATGAATAAATAAGAAGCCATTCGCAAAGTTACAAAAGGGTCAGAATCTTTCGTAACTTTACGAATCTTATGAAAATGCAACTTTATGAAATTCTCAAATTAAACAATGGACTTACGAACATTCGTAACCATGAAAGGTACAAAAACGAGCCCCTGGTGGTGAAACTTTTGTAACTATCTACTAACATTTGGGTTATTAAAGATGCACTGTCAGCCAGTGAGGACAATTTTGGTACCATTTCATATTAATTCATTATATTTGGAGGTGTGATTCATGTTTACTATCAGGTTCAGACCATCTAATAAGGTCTAATTGTCAATGTTTGACAAAATAAATATACATGTAGCTAGAAGGTAGTTAATAGACTAGATGCGAGTATAAATGATCTTGATTTATGTCATTTGATATTCAAAATTCAGTCAAAGTGATATCCTCTACATGTAAAAGTATATCTAGCAATATGATTTCGAAAAGTGGGTGCAAATTCTCATTTTCATATTTTATTTAGACCATAATTGGTCAATATATGCCAATTTTTCATGATTTTTCACATTTTCAAGTAGTTTCTGGTGGATTTAAGCCTGTTTTTTAAATCTCAGTTGGGTGCTGGACCCACTTGCTTTAATGCTAGAGAGAACATTGATTGATATATCTGTTTATTTAAAGTTGCAACAATTAGTGCAGAGGGGCCATTCAACGATCATGGGCCAGTGTTAAAATACATTTAAGATTGGATATTTCAACATGGTGGATCTCAAAAATATAGAAGTGGATTTCCCCTTTTTGAAGCTTTGAATTGAATTTACACTTCTTAATGCTAAAATTGATAGTTTATCCATATATTTTAAGAAAATAGGTATGTCAAAGAAGATGTTAAGCCAAATAGCCTTATAGCTCAGAAAAAGTTAAAATTTTCCTATTTTCTTTCTACATGCCTTGTTGTCCCTTGAAAAATGAAAAATTCCAAAAGTTGTTGACAGGTTCAAAAAGGGTGTCTGTCTACACAGGGGAGTAGCTGTTCCAGTGTAAATGAGTATCTATTTACTTGTGGAAACCGCAAAATTTGATAGCTGCGAAATTGCGATTTCTCAAAATTCAGGGAATTAAAACTCGCAATATTAACCGGGATAACAGTATTCTATATAATAGGCCGACTACTTCATTTGTCTTGTCTTCTTCGTGTGCTCAACTGCATTCTCATTTATCTTAACTTCATATTATATTTCAGATCAACTGCCATCTTGAGATATTTGAGCCAGAAACTATACAATATGGCCTTCTGCTTGGCCGTGGAGGGGAGGGGGTTGTACATCAGTGTATTGTGGAATACAAGGGACTGCCCCTACAATGTGCTGTCAAGTCTGTTTTGTGCAATACAGAAGAGTTTATACAACTTGCCCTGGAGGAACTGGAAATACTATGGTATGTCTGTTCTCTAATAATGACACCTACCCAGCTTAACTCAAATGAATATTAAACCAGGAAAGATAAATGCACAAACATCAGTCCATCAAAGGTATTTACTTTGTCCCTAAAATAACTCCAGAACACAAATTATAAACAAAACAAAAAGTTGGCATAAATCATGAATACTCTCATTTTGATAACACTAATAACAATAGTTGCCTGTAACCTATTTGCCTCAATGTAAGTCTTAATATGCAGATACCAAATAGTGAAATAATTTAATCGCTTGGAATCAGCTCAAGATGCAGGTGAAATCTATTGTTCAAAATTTATTGAACTCAGGCATTCCAGATGAGGGTGCCAAAAGTTAATCAGTTCATGTGTGTTTTATTTGTTAGCTAATCCTGTATTATCCTTTGGGGACATCTTCTCCATGGGAAATAATTACCTAGAGAGACTACTAGTTAAAAAGTTAACCTGTTACCAGTCAAACAGTCTGTAACAAACTCAGGTTTGATAACATTGCAGACATAAAAAGTCTCCAAACACATACTTGAATAAAAATTAATTTTGTATATGACTAATATATATAATATGACTAATATATATATTATATCATTATCACTTTGTCAGCATTATGAATATTAATCATAAAAAATCAAGATCTTTTGTACTGGCATTAGTCCTATTTTGCTCAAGATGCACATGTTTTATTGTGTGATAATTGTTGAATTTGATTTAATTCAATTTCAGAGCATTTCCTCTTTCCATGTGTAATTGAGGCTTTGGATTATATTTGTTATGTTAATCATTTTGATATCCAATGTATTTACTTCAATGTTCTAATTTTTGTGACATTAAGTTATCCTTTAATAAATATATCTTACCTTATATGGGCAATGGGCATCACATACTGACAATACTGCTAAAGCAATATTATATGCAATTATGCATTCATATTGAATTAGAAAATTATACCAATGAAGAAAATTCCAACAATAATTATAACAATGTAAAAATTCCAACAATTAGAAAATCAAACAAAGCTAACTGTAAACCACTAAATTACAACAATTTTATTTTTATTTTTGATATTCTATTTTTGATATTTATTTTATTCCTTTTTTAGTATGGCAAGGGATCCCATTGCTGACCATGTGCTTCAAGTTTATGGGGTCTCTGCAGTCCCAACAAAAGAAGACGCCTCTTTAGGACACTTAGCAATAATCACAGAAGCTGGATTAAAAAACAGTTTACAATTCTTTCAAGAGGAAAACCATTGTTTGAAGCTAAAAATCAGATTGCTTTGTGATCTGGCATCAGCGATACATTATGTGCATCAGAGGAAAATCATGCATCGGGATATAAAACCAGAAAATGTGCTTATTACCCATGTGTCATATAGAGGGCGCACTCCAGATAAGGTACGTGACCATGGTGATCCCATGAAAATATTTACTTCCACAAAGGTTGCAGAGGCAGCAGGCAAAAACTGCAACCGTTAAATTATATACTTCCCCAAATTTTACTAACATCAAAAAATATCTTTAACTTGCAGAAAATTAGGAGGAATTATGGGTTTAATATTTTCTTTGAATAGGTCATGTTTGAACTTATGTAATTAGGATGAGTCATTCAAATTAACAGAGGAGAGCCACCTTAAATTATGTCATTTCTTTGAAGGCTAGTATCGAGTGTTTTTGGGTCATTTAAAATATTTTTTACATAATGGCCAAACTATTAAATAATGGTTGGTCACCAGAAAAATGTCAATAATGGTCTATCTATTTACATCTATCAGACCACCACTGCTTCTCTGTTGATCTATATCTCTTGGTTTAATGATTCATTTCAAATTTCAGATCCAATTCAAGATAATGGACTTTGGTATGGGACGGCAAGTGAGGCGAGAGTCAGTAGACATTGAAGGTGTGGTGGGGACAAAGGGGTATCACCCCCCTGAGATGTGGGAAGAGAGTGGCTATGACATCACTGGTGACATATACATGCTGGGTGTCACATTTGCAATATTGGTGAGTTAGACTCTCAACATTGATCATGTAAACAGGTGGTTGATTTTAATTAAGCATAACTAGAGATCAAGATTGCAAGCATTGAGTTGGACTCTCAACATTGATCATGTAGACAGGTGGTTAATTCTAATTTAGCATAACTAGAGATCAAGATTGCACGCATTGGATTTGACTCTCAACATTGATCATGTAGACAGGTGGTTAATTCTAATTAGGCATAATAATGAGGATATGAAGTACATGTAGTGGGACAAGTGAGTTATAATTATTGAACTCTTGAAATTGATAAACCTCAGTAAACCCCATGGGCATATCCTCTTAATATAAATATCTTTAAATACCATCAAATACCATTTTTTGGCCCAAACAGAGTAGTTAGAGACATTTTTAGGTTAGAACATGTTTCATACATGTACACCTACTTGAATACTGCCAAATGTTTCCAGCTACTTCCACAGCGATATTTGGTGACGTCAACACTGCGTCATATTCTGAACAACTTGCACGAAAGTAAAGAAAATGGCATCCTGGGAAGAGATCTATTTGACAAGCTGATTGGCCCACTACTTGATGACGATATACCAGAACAAATAAAGAACCTTATTTCGTGAGTAGTATCTTGTATGATTGAAAACAGAGAAAATTATATCTGGGATAAAGTTACAATTTTGTTAGATTTTAATTAATCTCATTATGTGACCTGATAATTTTGTTATGAAATTATGTGTGTTCAGAGTTAAAAGAAACTATTCAGTTAAAAATAAGGGATAAGAAATATAAATATTCCCAATTTCACAGATTAAAGTTTACATATAAATGTATATTATTTCTCAAAAATGTTTGAAATACATTGGCGTAACTAGGATTTTGATAGCAGGTACGCGAGGTAGAATGCCAAACAAAACTAGGGGTGTATGGAGGCATGTTCCCCAAAAAAATTTTGACTTTAGACCTTAAATAGTGCTTTCTTAGCGATATCAGACTGTGTAATGTATTTTTTACAACAATTTATTTTTTGTTCCATCATTTAGGGGACGCAACTGAGTAGTCCCTTGCGTATGTCTGGTTATGCGCCTGAAATATGTCATTGCTTTTGTATGTAATAATGTAAACATGTTTTATTATCTAAATGGATAATAGAGAAAACAGATTGAGTTGCTGATAAGTTCTACACCATACATAGTTAGGGCCACATAGAGTAACATTGTGAGTAAATGATGTATATTTTATTTCCAGACAAATGATAGAGAATAGAGAAAACAGACTAAGTTCACTACCTGATGCTGTTGAAGTTTTACAACAGATTTATATTTGTATTGAAGACCCTGATGAGAGTGGTGACTCTGCTTCTATAAGTGTGCAGGTAATGCAATAAGTGTGCAGGTAATGCAATAAGTGTGCAGGTAATGAAATAAGTGTATGGTAATTCTGTACAGGTAATTCTCTAAGTGTACAAGTAATTTTATATTTTGTGCACAGGTAATTCTATCAGTGTATGGGGTAACTATGAATGTACAGAATGTGCACTGAATGTGTACAGGTACTTGTACAACTAGGCAGGATTTAAAGAAGTGTACATATAATTACCTGGTGCATGAAGTTAGTTTCCAGTTTCACAGGTCGAATGGCATTGTTCCCCTAAACTTATTGGAGTGGCTTTAGTAGGTATATATAGTATATATATATAGTAGGTATTAGGTATATAGTAGGTATTAGGTATTTTCAAAACCAAATATATTTCAGTTTTCATGACTTTGATTACTTGTGTTTCAGGGGTCAGACTCAGGTGTAGGAGTGGGAGAGGACCATGTGTTTGCTGATGTGAGTTTGGTTACTTCCTTTTTAAGGTTATATTATATTCTGCATTAGTAGTATTATGAACCAAAGATGCCTAAAAATGGCCACTGGCCTAGTAATTAGGCTAATGGCCCACTACAATTTTCTATATGTGAAAAAGCCCAATTTTTCAAAATGTACGCACTTGACTCATAACTAAAACTCTATTCACATAAAATTAAAGCACTGAATCATGCTGTTGCTGGGTACTTAATAATGGTGTCATATATGATCTTGTTACGAGATAGTTCAAAAATCTTTTGGACTTGATTTTGGCAGTAGTGTAATAAAGTTAACAAAATGTATATTTGTTTACAGGGACGTCGTAGTGCAACTCCAGGCAAACCCAAGCGTGGGAAAAAGAGACAACGTGAATGCACCCCATCACCTCCACGTTTATCACCAATCTTACCCCTAGAAACCCCAAATTCACGGCCCTCCACCCCCAGGAGTAACAGCAGCAGTACAAGATCTTCTCGAGGACGCTCACCACATTATATCAGGACGAGATCTCGGGGAAGTAGCGAATCATCAAGCAGTACAAAGTCTGCATCAAGTGGGCGGGGATTAGGAGGAAGTGGGCGGGGCTTAGGTTTAGGCGAGCTGTCAATCACAAGAGGTCCTGGGAGGGGACGTAATGGAATCTCAAGGAGGAGAGTAAAGAACAATATTAACCCAAAAGTTATACATCGGTCTATATCTACACCTAAGTAAGTTATAGCATACATAATGAATAAAAGCATCGGGTAATTTTCCTTCAAAATTGAATCTTGGGTTGAATTTTCGATTTCACCATTTGAAAGTATATACAATATACATGAACTACCAGTTTTAATATTAATTTAATGTGATCAATTGAACATAAACGTTTTTAGAAAGAAAGTGAATGTTTACCTTTAGCTTTAGTTTTGGCTTCAGAATCTCAGAACAGTAAAAGAGGTATCCAGATAATTGGGTTCATAGGTTGACTTAAATTTCCTTTTTACTATTCATATTTATCCATTTATGATTTCATGTTTAATGAGTTTTTTATATGTCACCACCAAAAGTGGTGACATATTGTTAAAGTCTCCAACTTTTTTGGCCGATGTTTGGCATCTTTAACAGCGTTTGGCACTCAGTGTTTGTAACAGTATTTGGCATCTGTAACAGTGGTTGGCATCTGTGACAAATGGCAGGTGGTGACATAATGCATGTTTATGCCTTCTTTAGTTATATAGTGTTCTTAATAGTGTTTTTCTAGTTATTTAGTGTTCTTTAACAATCACTATAATGTTCCTACCTATGTCAGTATGTTGACTCAGTCAGTGAAAACTAGAATCTGGAATATAGTACTATTTATTTAAAATTCTTAGAGTGCTTTAATATGACATCTTCTGAATACAGAGCTCCAGATATCATTCACTATTTCCCTTCCTTCTTGCATAAGGAACAATATCTGGAGCCATGTATATGTAAGATCTGCTTTGATACGCATGTAGTTTACATCCTTTCTATTTGAACAAGTTTAACAAATGAGATATACCCTTTCCTTTTGAAACCTTATAAGTGCCTGCCTTTCTCAAGAGTGTTTCTTCTCAAAATCATTTGAACCCTTCAGTCATGTCACTCCCTTCAGTCAATTGTTTTGCCTAGCCCTGCAGTATTTATTCATTGATATAATACCCGCTCTTCAGTGTATATCTCTTGTTGATTACTGTTTGTACAAATGAAAACCTCAGACAACAGTTCAAATTATTCCACATAACTCAGAAATATCAGGATCCATGATTCATTAAACTACCTTTATAAATAGGAACACTAAGGATTTCCAAGTAACAGACCCTAGTTTAGTTAAGTGTATCCTCCTCTATTTGAATCCTCCTTTACTTGAATCCTCTACTTGCAGTGCTGGAGATAAGTTAAAGAGGACAAGATCTCAATCTATGTGTGTGAACGCTCCTCCTTTGTCTCAACACCTTTCTAACCCAGCACTGAAAACCTCTGCAGCACGTAAATTGGCAGTAGCACCTAGCAAAAGTATTCCACAGGCAGTTACAGATAGAGATAGTGAAGATTCAACAAATAGCACCAGCACTGATTCTGACATTGATGATGAAGTCACATTTGTGCGTAAATCTTATGATGAGAAAGTTATCATTTTCCAGCAACCTTTGAGCCCACGTGTGACCCGTAGTGCTAGTAGTAGTAAACTTGAAAGTAGTGCTTTAGCTAGGACTGCAAGTAATATAAGTCACGACAATGGTAGCATTGGTCGTCCAAAAAGCCCAAATGTTGATCTTATATACAACTCTGGTTTTAAAGTCGTGAAGGGAATTTATAACAAACTTTGTGATGGTCTGTCTAAATTTCAGCCCAGAAATTGATGAAATTCCGAGGCTCCCTCCAAAAAGGCAACGTTTAACAAGATTGGCTTCATGCACTAACTTATATAAGTGACCTATAAGGGACACAGAGGAATGTCATATACATAACTGATGGCAGGAAATGATGTCATCTGTGTCATGTTCTGATGGAGAGAAAATGTACAATGCAATGAGAAATTCTGTAAGGAACAGGTTACCCGAGTGATTTTATATTGCAGAAAGTTAACTTGGGAAAGTTCTTAAAAAAGTATTTATTATATTAACATGTGGAGCTGGGAAAATGACTTGTGTATTGAGAAATAACAAAATGAGTATATGTTATATGTATTAATGTATCTGGTGCCTGACATAATTGAAGATGTGCCGTAAACATCAAATCCCAAAATGTCAGAAAAATTCATGCCTTGAAAACCATAAGTTGTGGGTGAGGGATGTATTACGAGAAACATTCCTCTAGGAATTCCAAGATCTATTGGAATTCTATATGGCAATATGATTTCCATGGTAGCAATGGATTTGGGTATTGCTTTATTGAGAATTATTGAAAATGACATTTGGTTAATAAATCAATGTCTGTCAAAACATGATTTACTTTGTTTGGAAAGGTTCCGTTTTTTAAAACGAACAATTTATGATACACTGAGTGAAACCATTAACAATGAGTTTCTCTCACTTGACCCATCAGCTTATGGAATTAACCTGTATGTTTGTGAAAAGAATGTTTTACATTGATGGTCACTCAAATTATAAATGTGTTTTTTCCATGATTGGATTTGAAGGCCATTCCAGTAAATGGTGCCATCTATTGGTGATGATGTCACTGATAACAGTTTTATTGCAAAATTGACATAAACTTGCTTCTCAAAAATGTGCATACATTTATAGATAAACACAATTTAGGAGACCACATATTCAGTCAATGGAGCCTTTGGTTTAGCATTAGACGGTAGTATTTGCTGGAAATCCCTAGAGGGTATAGGTAGTAAGCTAGGACACAAAAATGTTTTTACCAGTGAACAAATTGAAATTACTTGTTTCTTATGTATTTTTATGTGATACTTCAGAAATTTGTTGTCTGACGCGCCGTATCCGGGGCGAAAGTTGCCAAAGTGGAGTTTTTGACCCTAATATAGAAAATAACAGGGGGTACTTTATTATCCTTGAATAACTTTTTCAGTTGATCTTTAATCATCACAATAACTTTACTGGAAGTTGTTAATATCATTCTTGATTAGTATGCAAAGTTTCAATGATCTGTAATTAATGGTTGTCATGGAAACCATGATCTTTGTTGAAAAAGTCCATAATTTTGGTAAAACCTGTACCTGTACATCATAAAGAATGGGCATTATTTTTCAAATCAAAAGATATCAGAACATGTTAAGACTCTAAAAATTATCAGGCCAGTTCAGACATTTGTTTAAATATAATGGATATTGTTATTCACATGATTGATAAGTGTCAAAGACCATACAATTACAAAGGTGATCAAAAGTGGGCGTCGCCCTTATAATAGTAGATGATTACCATTCCCTTTAAATACAGATTTTAAGTTGACTTGAGATACAATTATAATGTACTTCTATTGCCATAATCTATATCAAGCAATTCTGGTAGATACATATAAGTGTTGTAGGTATTACATCATGCTTGGGATGGTGGGTACATTGGGGGGGGGGGGGGGGGGTGGTAGAGGTACCCAGCCAGGCCCGTAGCCAGGATATGCCAAGGGGGGTTCAGTTTTCAAAAATTTCCAGGGGGGGTTCACATTTGACAATTATGGCCCAAATATGGCTAAAATCACTTAAGAAGTGCTCAAAATGGTGAAAAACTGCATGATTTTGAAATAATTTTTGGCCAGGGGGGGGGGGGGGTTCGCCCGAACCATGCGAACCCCCCCTGGCTATGGGCCTGCCAGCCTTATATAAAACTCATATACAAAGTTTAATTTCATGTAGTACATCTTTTGGATCTTGTTCTGATTTATCTCAATATATAGGATATTGCAATTTACATTATTGGAAAGTGTCAAAGACCATACAATACAACAAACATAAGTGTTTAAAAGTGGGGTTTGCCTTCATAATAACAGGGTTCATACACCTTTTTTAAAATGAAATTCCGTGACATTTCCAGGCAAAAAAGGAAATTCTTGCGCAGCCTACTAAAAAGTCTCAAACAACTGTACAAGACTTATAATGAAACATTTTACCCAGTACCCAGTAAATGTCAAGGGGGTGAAATTATTTGGGTTTGCATCACTATGAGTGAAGCGAAATCCAAAAGGGAATACTGGGGTTCACCTCCCAATATTTTTAAAAATTTCCATTGTAAATGGTGCATTCTAAGCATTTCAAACTATAATTTGTCAACTACTGATCATTGTTAACATTATATGATAACAATAACCTGGCATTACTATTGTCTTCACCCCTTTGGGAAAATCCACACCAAGACATGACACCATATTAGAAATTCCTTCTCTAGTAGCGTCACTATACGGAATAGTCCTAAGATACCAAATAAAAAATTCGGTATTTGTGTTATCAGGAATATTACCTCATCTGGAAACAGCAACTTTTTGAGTAGCAACAAGCTTTTTTCTTGAACAGAGTCATGTGCCCATCTGCAAAATAAATCTGAACCAAAAATGGTGAGTGTCTTTTTGAGCAGAGGCCCCATATAACCAAAGCATCAGTATATAAAGTCTGATATTTGAGTTATTGCCTTGACAGATGGGCAGGTGAATAGACTGATGTAAGACAGCTTCTCATATAAATACAGTTTTACACAGAATCGTTATTGTTTTTCACCACCCACCCTCCTCAGATTAAACCCTCAACAAAACATGAAACATATACCAATAATTAACTATGAATGGCCTAAGACTAACTTACTACAAGGAAAAGCATAATTGTATTGAACCATCTATACATACTGTATATGTATATTCTTTATTGTTCGGTTTCAGTATAATGTTCACAATGTTCTCAGACAATACAAGATAGATTGTCATCCAATCAACCCTAATGAAAAGATTTCCAATTAGTGGAAACAACTGAATGTTAGAATTTGAATTTCATTGATATCCTGTCATAGCCTAAAATGTACTTTGCTGGAACAACATTGATACAAAATACCCTGACATATCTACTGTTTCAAAATTCCCAGACATTTTTGTCTTATTTTGACCCAATTTTAACATTCCCTGACATTTCCAGCACCTGGAAAAATCAATTTCCCTGTCATTCCTCATCATGAGAAATGATGTCTTTCTATTCTAAATTCTAAATATGGAGTATAACTTATAAGATACAATTATACTGTATTTCTGTTATATTACCATAATTCATATCTAGCATTTCTGGAAAACACATATAAGTCTTGAAGTGGGGGGATAGAATGGGTGGGGGGGGGGGTGGGCAATGCTAGTCAGCCTTAGGTATAAATCTCATCAACATAATTTTGTGTCTCATAGTCAGTACATTTCTTGGCCATTTCACGCTTTCACTGGGTGTAACACTGTGAGTGCCTTGGTTCGGAGGGGCAAAGAAACACCTTTCAAAACAATGGCAAAGGGGGAGAATCATACAGACACATTCAAAGGACTAGGACTCTCAGCAGACATAAATGACGAAACAACCAGTAAAGTAGAAAAAGTTTGTTTACCATATTAATGATGTTTCATATGTATGCACCTCATACATTTAACTCATACATGTAGCTTTGCCACCCTATCATGTTATATATCATTTTGTTCCTTATGAAAAGTTACATGGGACTGGAAAGTTTCAGAATAAAGAGGTGTCCCTGAAAAAAGATACAATCCAACAAAATATGTGGGTAGGGGGTCATTTATAAGCAGTTTTGTAAGAATTTTTATGCCAGTCCGGTGATCTGTTCACTGTGTCTGCTACCCAATTTTAGTGATAAAGGTGGTCCCATTGTTCCTGACCTCCCTATAAGCCACTGCATGAATCTTGTCTATATATCTTTGTGCATAACTGCCACAGACATGTGGACTGAGCTCTGCCATGGTGACAATAGCAAGAAATGTGCAAAACGTAAACTAAATTTGTCCTTTAAATTGTCCTCAAAATCACCAGAAATTGCCATCTAAATGACCGGTACCCACAATCTTTGATAGATTATAACTTTTTTCAGTGACATTCCTGGATTCTGAAACTTTGGAATCCTATGTAACTTTCCATAAGGCACAAAATGATATATAATATGATACGGTGGCAATGCTACATGTATGTTTAGAGGGGGTGCATACATATGAAACATATACTAGTATGGGAAACCTCAAATATCCCACATCAACAAAGTCAGATATGTGTTATTTAAAGAGAAGTTTAGGCCCCATACTAAAACAATAACGGACTATGAAGGAACAGATATTACTCTACCCCCCCTTGTCAAGACTCCCCATGCTTCACTTAGCAAGGGCCAACTTACAGGCACTTATCTTGCGTATGGCCCATTTTGAAAAAGCTAATATTTCAGCACCAGATGGACATGGGTGGAAACTTAATGATTCTAAAAAACCTGGAAGATGGGTAACAACAGATATTCTACCACAAGAGATTGTTGATATCTTAACACCAGGGGAAGAATCAGAAGATGACCCAGGAGATTGACTCTATAAGATCCAAAATTATGTTGATGAGATGTATAACTAAGGCTGACTAGATTTGTCCCCCCCCCTCCCCACATTGACCCCCCCCCCCCTCCCCCATCCTGATGGAATAACATCAATACTTAAATGTGTTTTCTAGAAATGCTTAATATGAATTAAGGTTATAGAAATCCAGTATAATTGTATCTCATAAGTTAAACTCCATATTTATAGAAAATGGTGGTCTTCTATTATCATTATGAGGGCAAAGTCCATCTTTGATCACATTTGTCTTTGACACTTTCCAATAATGTAAATTGCAATATCCTATATATTGAGATAAATCAGAACAAGATCCAAAAAATGTACCACATGGAACTAAAACTTTATATATGAGTTTTATATAAGGCTGGGTACCTCTACCCCCCCCCCCCCCACTGTCCCCCCCCCTGACCCCCCCCCCCCCATCCCTAGTTTGATGTAATACCTACAACACTAATATGTATCTACCAGAATGGCTTGATATAGATTATGGTAATAGAAGTACATTATAATTGGATCATTATATCATGTGGAACATTCATTATAATTGTAGTCAACTTAAAATCTGTATTTAAAGGGAATGGTAATCATCTACTCTTATAAGGGCGACGCAAAACTAGTATTAAAGTACAAAATGCTAGTATTAAAGTGTGTTCTGCTGAATTTTTGGAAATGGAATTGTTTAAGAGCTTGTCAAAGAAATTGAAATCACACTTTGATGTAATATTGTTATGTAATTGTAACATGTAGCATATTTAATTGGAAGGCTCATTATACTACAATGCTTATCATATCTTACTAATGCACTTTTGTAATGAGAATATTGTCCCCATTTGTATATACCTGGCATTACCTGGCCCTAACTACATGTATGTACAACTTATCCATATTAGAATGTTAGATCCCAATGTAAATGTATGGGAACAGGAATAAATATTTACTTCTCCACTAGAGCCAAAACATGGCAACTGGTCTGGAAATCAGTTTTGAACAGTAGATCTACAATACATATTACTTGTTCTGAGTCGATTCCATTCAATTGTAACATATACCTGTATACTACAAGTGCGTAATTGTATAGACATAGACTGATAGAGAAGCATAGCCAGAATACATAAACAGGCGAGTTTATAAATGGGCAAAGCAAAGCTTAAGCCAAAGAGGATGTTATACTAATATAATATGTCATAATATTCACACCCCGGATTAGCCTGACTATGGTAAAGTCAATGTTCTACCATCAAAATAAAGTCTTTAATTAAACGATCAAAATTAGATACGGGACAACGGACACTGTAATTACCATATACCGTTGTCTTTCTAAATTACTCAAATTCAGATTCTGTTGTGATTGACAATATCGAAGACTCTATATTGTGATTCACAACCCAATTTGATCGAAAATGGGATTTCATATGATACATTATAACATACCTATGATGATGTATAGTGCAAAGTGTACACAAGACAGCGGGCCAATATAAGTTTTGAAAAGCCCGCGCCCGCTAACTTTCTGATTGGTCAAGCTTCTGACGTCATAACCAATCAATCGAAGATAAAACTGCGCGAGCAATTTTTCTAAACTCATTTTAATCATTTTCAAACCATTTGTTTGTCAATTCTATAAGAAAACGGTACTCTCTGACATGTCTACATCATCATAGGTATGTTATAAATCGTTTATGTCACTATCGTGGCACATATGCCCTCGGTTCTCAGAGATCAGTGTCCCTCCCAAGGTCGGGCCATATATCACAGACCTCGGGCATATATGCCACGATAGTGACATAACCTCTAATTATCACAAGAGCTTAATGCATGCACAGAATTAACGACGATAAAATCCCATGAAATGAGGACCAAGTGATTAAACAGTTGAAGCGACGGTTATGTCCGCCAATTGTGACAACGGTATCTGACTTTACCGTAGTCAGGCTATTCCGGTGTGATTCAGAAATGATTAGAACTTTTGTGATGCAAAATTATGCGTCATAGCTAGCCAGCTATATTGATGGACACATCTTTCCATCATCATTATATTATAATCTGTATCTGATCAAGTAACATGAAATACATTTTTGAAATGTAGATTATCATTGTATTATTGCAGTATCCTTTATGTTAATCAAAGTAGAGAAACAGTAGTAATTATGGGTATTAATGTATAAGTTTGGGTATTAGATTACATGTACTGGTATACAGGAATTATTATTCAAACTAAAGCTATAAATGGGGGGGGGCATGGCCAGGAACTCACAAAATTAATTTGACAAGGCAAAATTTAGGATACATGAAGTGTTTTGCTACCTGTGTCTCTAATTTTCAGTTTATTTTAAAAATGTCTGAAAATATATATTTCTAAAATTTGATGAGGCAGTTACCTTGCCTGTCTCATATCTGGCTATGCCCATGATCAACATAGCATTGCAGCTACGATTTCCATGATCAACATAGCATTGCAGCTACGATTTCCATGATCAACATAGCATTGCAGCTACGATTTCCATGATCAACATAGCATTGCAGCTAAGATTTCCATGATCAACATTGCATTGCAGCTAAGATTTCCATGATTAACATAGCATTGCAGCTAAGATTTCCATGATCAACATAGCATTGCAGCTAAGATTTCCATGATCAACATAGCATTGCAGCTAAGATTTCCATGATCAACATAGCATTGCAGCTAAGATTTCCATGATCAATATAGCATTGCAGCTAAGATTTCCATGATCAACATAGCATTGCAGCTAAGATTTCCATGATCAATATAGCATTGCAGCTAAGATTTCCATGATCAACATAGCATTGCAGCTAAGATTTCCATGATCAACATAGCATTGCAGCTAAGATTTCCATGATCAACATAGCATTGCAGCTAAGATTTCCATCATCTTTGAACTTGGTTGGCATAAGAGGCTGGGAAGCTCATTCAGCTCAGGCATTAATAATTAAATCAGTTACGAAATCCAGAAATATGAAATTTTGAATTACGAATTAGTTTAATTTAATTATGAAATCTGTTCCTGAAGGCAAAGATGGAGAATTCTGGTCTCATCTTAAATCACGTAAGGGAGTTCAAGTTACCACTGTTTTTACGACAATGTGAGTGTGTCCAAATATGGTCCTTAAAGGTAGGCCTACTATGAGGAAAACAGGGGTCATGATATTGCATGATCATGTTCTCCCAAATACATGTATGTGTAACTAAGCTCTCGGATGTGTAATTTATTTATACTGTATTATTATTAATGAAAAATTATTGTTACCATGTTTGAAGGAAAGAGGTGAATATGTACATTAAAATGTTAGAAAATAAATATCTGTTTTTATTGTTAATATTACCATATTGTATTCAAATCTTTCTATGGTTTATATTTGATGTATTATCATTAAGTGATAAATAAATGGTTATAAATTATAAAACAATTTTTAGTTTTTGATGAGTTATTAATTTTTTATTTATTTAATTGCAATATGTACAACTAATTAACAGTTTAATTTAAACTACACAGATTCTACACAATGATTCACTGTATCCCATGGCATGGCAGGGTATTACAAAATTCCCTTAAAGTGCCCGATAAACTATAAAATGCGCATGCGTCCAGGTGTTGATAAACTATAAATAGCGAAAATCCAGGGTTTGTCACCACAAGGTAAGCCAGGACGTGTTGAGAGAACAGCTAGTGTTGATATTGAATTTATATGTAGCCAGATAAGTTTCCTTATTGAAATTACATATGGTTATTAGCAATACTTTGTAGGTGCTAAATGATAAAATATTTAGAGTATATATGAGAGAAATTGGTCATTTCGAACCTGTTGAAAAGTTTGTGGCTCTCGGCTACACCGGGGAATTTACTTCCATGAGTACACACATAAATGTGGGGTTCCCCAAGAGGTACGCGACAAGGTGACCTGGCATCAAATGTGCGACTAAATGCTACCATCGAGAAGATAAAATAACGAATACGACAATAAGTTATTGCATGTGACAATTCCGAGCCTTCATCTCACTGAAGTATTTTGAAGTGAAAATAGGATTTTTGTTTTGATACATGGATTCAGATGAACGTAACTTTATTCTGACAACTAATCAAAACTGAACAAAATTGATTGTACGTAACAGACAATTTATTGTTTTACAATGTTTTGATTGGCTAAACGAATGAAACCAACAAATTATGACATGTAAAATGACAATTTTGAAATTTAAAATTTAAAAGTGACAAACACAACCTCCCTATCCACTCTTTGGGAGCCCTAGTAAATTAGTAATATGTACATGCAGCAGTGGTAGTGTACAGCTTATTATCACACTACGCTTTGTATTCTAAAGCCTGTTGTTTGTAATAACACTGTTCACTCAACGTATGTTTTTGTGTGGGCAGTCAACGATAATCATTGTTTTATCCCGGTTATATGACCTCGGCAATTATAACAAAACCGTACTAAACGAAAAAACGCAAATAAGAGAAAGCTTTCACACACATATAAAAAATGAACTAGTCTAATCCGCCAGTATAAACTCTGTGATATACGTAGCCGGGTCAGGCGCACACTTTAAACTTGAATATTCATCAGTTTTACTGGTTCACTTTTCATATTATCCTCTATATGTATCTGATAGTTATACAAATTAAAATATGTCCAGTAAAAGAAAATATTATCTGCCCAACACAAGAAAAGATATTTCACTTTTTGTGATTTTACAACATGGGGTCTATGGGGAATCTCTCCGACCTAGAAGTCACATTTTCAAAGAAAATTAAATTTTCAAAGCTGATAAACTTTTCAAGACCACATTTCTAATTGTGATTTTACGTGTAGATTCCAATTTTTAATGACATAAATCAAGATTATTTCTACTCACATCCAGTCTATTGAGGCAGTTCTACATAATGATTCACTGAATCCCATACTAATTGAGGCAGTCAACTTATTCTTTAACATACTTGGTCTTGTTTTTGAACACTGAATTTCTTACTAAATGGCTTGTAACAAATTGTTCAATATACACAAATTATGTATTAAAATATGTATAATTGTTTGTATCAGAGGTTGTGCATTTAGATAGTAAAATGGAAAAAGCTAGCAAACAATGCTCTGGTATTCAGTGTCATTGCAAGGCCTGTAATAGCCAGTAATTTTTGAGCCCCGTACTTCACTGTACAGTGCCTGTAACAGTGTAATGAGCCCTGTAATTTTCTAGGTCCTTCCTGTAGAGTGGACCTATGTAACTGCTAACGTAGGTCCTTCCTGTAGAGTGGACCTATGTAACTGCTAACGTAGGTCCTTCCTGTAGAGTGGACTTATATCACTACTGCTAACTAATATCATTGGAGCCTAGGTCTGTTTGATTAATACAATGTATGTGACTAATATTGCTGCTACCTGAGTCCCCCTGTAGAGTGGAATTTGATCTGACTGTCCAATGCAGCAAGTTCATCCCGTAGTTTGTCATTTATATGCTGGACTTCAGCTGAAAGTAAAGAATGAGTATGTAAGCCAATAAAATCTATCAAATTAAACTAGAAATGATCAGTGTTTTGATATTTTCATTGTCAACTGTAGTCTGTAGAGCAATCATCTTCAACTACAGAGCAAAAATGCTCAATACAATAATAATCCTTGTACGTAGTATAAGTATTTACATACATGTGATTCTGCCCTTTTGCAAAAACCTGAAATGTTCAAAATCATATGTAACTTAAACAATAAACCTTTTCTGAAATAATCGAACTTGAAAAAATGATCTACAAATGTATAAGTATTTAGTTGGTGATGATTTTTTTCAAGCTTTGATATTTTAAATACATCATTGCACTTGTTGTGCAAAAGTGAGAGAGGTAGACATTGTGGGGAAGGAGTGATTCAAATTTGAAAAATAACATGCGACCCTATTGAGGGTTGCAGCTAAATTCCAAACATGCAAGCCTGCTTAAATCATTTGTAAATATAGAGAAGTTCAGTTTAGTTCATTTTTAGCCAGTTTTATTTATTGAATGTTCAATATGAGTGATTATGAAAACCTTTATGTGACAAGGCTAACCTGGTAGACCTATATCAAATAGGTAGACCTAATATATACTCTAACTGGACACTATGGATTATTTAAAGGCAGTTGCTACTATAATATTGCTTATCATGTTCAGTTTCAGCAATGGACAATCAACATCAGGAAATTACCATTGTACACGGTGAGTTTGGTGACATGGTACATAACAGGAAGTGATAAAACATGCTGCATTTTTAGACATCTTTTGAACAAAGATAACAGAGTTCTGTTTTGACCTCCAGTCAATTCAACTCTTTTTTCTAGTTCCACATATAATCTACAGGGCCAGGATCACAATGTACTCGTACATGGTCATAGTGACCCTAAACATGATGAAATAACTTTTTCAGCCCTCTGAAAATGTGACTGAATAATTGCCCCTCAGGAAAGATCAATGAACAGAATCTTTTGATTTTTCAGAAAATGTGCCCAATATATTGCTCCAACTGATACAATCTTTGTTTACAATGTTTCCTATAGCTTTATACTGTTCCATCATTTGATTACAGGCCAATGAATATTTATAAAATGTTCATGATAAATTTATTTCCATTTACTTATTATTGTAATGTTATTTTAAATGTACTCTGTATTTTATTTCATTGATCACAATAGGTTTATCAAAATTAATGAGCCTAGTATGCCTTGTGATCACGAGCCAGTACAAGGCTCCAAAATTACAAGCAATTACGGGAAGCGCTACTAGACCCATACAAGGTTGTACAGGGCCTTTTGAGGAAACGAGTTTTACACATGATGAAAAGGGAGAAGGGCTAAAAATTGTTTAAGAAATGGTTTTGGGGTCATTTAATAAAAAATTAATCAATTTTCAAGTCCAAGACCAAGTAAAAGTCATTGGAAATTATCTGGTTATGTTTTCTGAATATTTTGAGTGAACATAAACATTTAAAATTCATTAAATTAATCACAGGACCCCCCCCCCCCCAGTACCCCACTTGTTTGTAATCCCTCTCCCTTGTGACCCAAGCTCCTCCCACTTGCATGAAACCCCTCGCCTGAACTATAACAGTGAATAGTAATAATAAACCTATGTTTTCCCCGAAATGAAATTGATTTGAAGTATGCAAAGTTGCAAATTCAAAGGCTGCAATTTAGTTCATGAGTGAGGAAGCGTTCACTCCGCTATCAAATTGAAACCTCAGCCCAAGTAAATGATTTCATAATGATCTTTCAATAAAGGTATGAACGTAAAGATGGCAATGGTGGTATATCATGTGACCCTGAAACTGACCAATCATCTGGTGCATGTCCTAATGACCAAGATGCCGGGCACCTCCAAAAGCTGGTGAACTCCTTAAAGAATGAATCATCCATCCTACACAGGATGCTTTTAGAGCAGAGCCTAACACTGAACACAGTCCAGAGAAATATGTTGATGATGATGCAGAAAAATGAGCAATTAGAACTGAGACTAAAGCACCTTGAAAATATAACAGGAAGTGGGTCACAAAATGGTAAGTGAAGAAATTTTTAAATTGAAAACCCATATGTAGCAGTGTTATTAAATTCCGTACAGTTTGCCTAATGTATAAAACTATTGCAAAGGAGTGGTATCAATATGGAGAACTAAATTCAACAATGTTTTTCTCTTAAACCAATCATTGTAAACATTCTGTAAAAAATACGATATTTTATGTAATGTTGACTGATTGACAACAATTTAATGCGAAATTATTCAGAAATATTTTATATAACTGTTTTGTTAACATTTTTGTTTTTTAGTGCAATTGTTTTTGCTCATTTCTACCAATTCTGCATGGAGAATGAAATAAAATGTCTTTCCGAACCCTGTTGGAACAAAATAGCATATACAATATGTTTTTAGACCTCTCACTATTTAATTATAGTTATACAAGGAATTTTTGGTAGATTTTAAAAAAGTATTCAAAAAATCAAAACAAAATCCCCCCAAAATAGATAGAAATCAAGATAAACCTTTTATTTCATTAACAAGATACTTTTTAAAAATCCAGCAAAATTTCCTTTGTACAATTACAATATTGAGAGACATAAACATGTTGTGTTTATGCCGTTTTGTTCCAATTAGGTTCAGAAAGATGTTTCATTTCACTCTGGAAACATGATACCAAGAACAAACAAGTGTTTAGTATGTTTTCTAAAACAATATAGACATGTATATTTTTCAAATTATATTGTTACCATTCAAAAGATGACCATTAACCTCTTGAATACCCAGAGTGACGGATATATCCGTCACAAATGAAATAAGACTGGTGCCCAGAGGGACGAGAAAATCCGTCACAAAATTTTTCACAAAAATTGCTCTCATTTGAACAATTTTCATCCAATCTACACAAACATTGTTTTAAAACGTGTAGAAATGATCTCTGTCGTCCAATTTTACTAAGCTGAGCATCTAAAGTTGTATAGGTATGTAATAAAATGTCAAAAGGTGGCAAAAAATGAAAAATTCTCTGGTTTCATGCCAATTTTAGAGCCTGGGATTCAAGAGGTTAAATGACCATGTGTAAAATTTTTAGATGTTTTTTATGACTGGTTTAAGGGAAAAGTGTGTTCAAAAAGTTCTCCATATCGATACCACTCCTTTGTGAATCTAAAGCCAAGAATAGTCAGAAAAATAGAGGTTGGGAGGTGATCACTTAACACTGGTGTTTTCAATTTTGAGTTGTCACACGATTTATTTTAAGTTGATATTCAATCTAATATTTGTGTTTTCCAAGGAACGATGTCAAAATAATGACAGTTGTGGAAAAACGATATCTTACTTTATTTGTGCTTTAAGCCCCCATTCCCAAATAACAAAAACTTTTGGTTAGCATTTCTGTTGAATTTAAATTTTGATTTTGAAAATCAACATTTTTCACATGCAAGTGTTCATTTACCACTCCCTTATCAGAGAATGATAACAACTGTCAACAATTGGACAAAATCCTGAAGTTTGGTATTTGAACTAACAGCAGTGATTTGACTTGTATGTTCAGAGAACGCAGGAATGTGCCCAAGACTGGAGCCTGGTACTGTTGGTATGTGTGTCCAGGAATGTGACCATGATGCCTCCTGTCCAGGTATACAGAAGTGCTGCTCCAATGGGTGTGGACGTACCTGTATGAATCCTATGGGTATGACATTTCACTGAATCTGCATTTCATATAAGTTTATATGGCAAACATTTTGAAAAACCCTGCCTTTTTAAAGGGTAACAATAAGCCGATAAGCTTCCTGTATAAAAACATTTCATATGGCTGCTCCAGGCAAGTCAACTAGTTCAGTCCAATTTTAAGAAATAAGTTTTGTAAATTCCAGTTTGTTGACATCATTTTTGAGATAAAATAATCCATTACAATTATTCTGTAAATATTGAGGAAGTGAATTATCAAAAAATATCCAAATGTCCAAATATATGACCAATGCCATACCAAATATCCAGATATAAGACCAAGGCCATTCAAAATGTCTGAAGCCCCAAGAAGAAGGCAGATCTTTGAGGAAAATGGTTCAAAACAACTTCAAATTAAGGATAAATGTCACAACTAGACAAATTCCGTTACGCTTTGAATTTAATTTCCAGAAAGTAGTCAAGAAGGAGGACAAACAGAACCAGCAGGACCTTCAGGGAACTCAGGGGGGCCTTCAGGGGGCCCGGGAGGACCTTCAGGGAGCTCAGGGGGACCTTCAGGGGGCCCGGTAGGACCTTCAGGGAGCTCAGGGGGACCTTCAGGGAGCCCAGGAGGACCTTCAGGGAGCTCAAGGGGACCTTCAGGACCTATAAGCAACCCAGAGGGACCAACAGGACCCACAAGCAGCCCAGAAGGACATGGTGGACCAACAGCAACCACAGGCAGCCCAGGAGGACCTCCAACATACCTAATAGAAACAGGAGGCGACCAAGAAGGACATAGTGGTGGACCATCAACACCCACAGGCAGCCCAGGACATGGTGGTGCACCAACAAGCAAACCAGAAGAACCTGAAGCAGGTAGAACAGAACCAGGAAGCAACCTAGGTCCAGTAGGACCTGGCACACCTTGAACTGGGAACAGTAAATCTTTTTTTTAAAGTGGAATGTGTATAAAGGAATACATCTAAAATAGTCATAAAAATGGATACAGGAATATTATATTATTATTATTATCATTATATATTAAGGCCAAAACCTGAGATTCTATGGACTGATCTTCAAATAAGATTGTTGCTAATATATTATAGAAGTTCTATATTCACATTTTAACCCTTCCTAACACAATGGTGAGAAAATATTATAAAATGACTCTGTCACTACTGAAAAATGGCCTGAAATACCTGAAGGGTATGTTTTATCCATTTCCATGGCAACCACTACATCATGTGACATGAAATTTTTATCATATATTCAGTTAGCCTATACCAATATATTATAGTAATTCCACATTCCACTGAATATCTTTTGAGTTCTTGCCCAATTTTATAGTAGGGGTCCAAATTTTAGCCCATGGGGAGTAAAATGGCCACAAAATCTAAATGCTGAAAAACAAAGATCTAATAATCCATACAAATATGTATAATCATCGTAGTAACATGAAAAATTATGTCCCATAAAATCCCTCTGAGCGCACGCCAAAACCCACATTCTGACTCAACTAAATATTTTTAAAGTGCTCCTGCAACTATGAAATGATTGTGTAATTGAAATACTCTTAAAAATAGGTTTGAAGTGTGGGAAGAAAAAATGAATTTCAGAGCCATCACACTCTAGCTCTTGTGACAGCATGTTGTATTTTTGCAGATTGTATGTTCTCTGAACATGTTATTTTGGATGATCTTAAACATGAAGGAATATATAAAAATGTATTTAATGGTTTCTAACTCTCTGATTTTATTCATTCTGGAAAGAGATTTAGATGGAAAACAAAAAATTGAGGGCAAACTGACATGGTTCTAACCCTACTATCACACCAAACTAGTTCTCACTATAATGGGCTTCAACTGTGTATGAACTGACTGGACGTACTTAGAACCGTTTGGGGTCTATTTACAAACATAGCATTCTGTCATCAGATCATGTGACAACGTATTTCAAACGAGATGACCTACTTGACCAGGAATGTAATTGCCGTACTTCAACCCAACTAGGGATGCATTATACAACATTGTGCAATCGGATATCAATTGCAATATGTGTGCACACCGACATGATGCTATCTGAACGAACTGCGAATGAGATGGACGTATTGAAGACTGTTCATGAACGAAGTAGCTAATTATTTTAGACATATTTCCCGACTACAGCCAGATTTAGCCTGTTTTATGACTTTTTCGTAGGACTGGAAAGAATGGTTGAGAACTAGTTTGGTGTGATAGGGGGGTAACATTCCACTGCAGTTGGTATTTGGCAACAAGGCAGTCAGCCATTTTGAAATTTCCCAATGCCTTCAAACAGATTTAATCATGATATTGCTTTTTTAATTAATTTTCATAAAAAACGTTGTTCACTCAAAGTATTAAAGTAAAGAACCATATTGATGTGATTATCATTAAAATTTTCTTTAACCAACTGCATTGGTATGTTAAAACTACAGCACTGTCAAGGAGGTTTGACATGTTCAAGATAAAGTAGAAAGTACCTGTTGCTGAAGTACTATGGGAATCCTCAATGAAGGCTTGAGGTATCTTTTTAGGTTTAGGATCTATAATTCAGAGAGGAATTAGTTACAACACAGTAATAAATTAGTAAAAAACACACATGTTTCATAGTGTTTGTGGAGTATTAATGAAGTTAATAGTTTCATTGAGAAAAATATTCCAGTCTCACCAGTATGGACCATTCCACTGGATTTGAGCCTTTAGACTGATGTTTCAATAACATGTGCAATATTGTGCATACTTGTCAACATAACCAGGGAAAGGTCATTTTGCAAGAATGTTTACTTGATAACAGCTTTTGCCAAGGGGGGGGGCACTTTTCACATTTGACAAAGGCCCATAGTCAGTTGAAAAGTGCTCAGAATGCTGAAAACTGCAGGATTTTGAAAGAATATTTGGCTCGAAACCACCCCCCCCCCCCCCGCCCGGCTATGGGCCTGCTATTTGGGTTATATTAATTGACAAAAACTTATCGTCATTTTTACCATTGAAGGCAATATTAGAGAACCAATATGACGTGAATTCAAAATTAGCTGCAATTTGCAACTGCATATAATTCATGGATGATTGTACCTTAATAAAGCTCATTCTTAGGAAATTCCTTGCAAGAGTAATTCACCAAAGCCTCAAATCCCCTCCCATTGTTCATTAACAGATATAATCCACTCCACTTCAATCAATGTTTTGAACCTGACCTTTCAGTCCCATCTCAGCCCCCTCTATACAACAAAATATGTGTCATGAAGAATGAAACATTGATATTTGACTGACCACCCCTTATTATATTTCAGAAAATTTAAGAAAATATTTCTTACATTTTGCATCAGCATAAATGCCACCAGGTTCTGAATATGCAGATTTATCATTCCTGGGTTGAACCTGAGCATGAAGATTGCTATTGGGGGCAGAACCAGGGTAAGCTGGTTGTCGGGGTATACCTCTGGGAACAGGTGGAGGGGCTCTGTAGGGTTCCTGCTCCCGATAACCACCTGAGTATCCCCGGGGGTCTAGCCCATGGTTATAAACCCCCTGGGGATCAGATAGGCGTAGCCTTGGATCTTCCCTGGGGGATCCTTGGGAATAATTATTGCTGTATTGTGATTTGTTGATTGTTCTCGGAGATAAGTTCTCATGCGAGTGACGGAACCGATTGCTGTAGCCTTGTAGAGGAGGGTTGTTTCTCTTGGGACTTTTGTCAGATCTGAAATTTAAATTCAAATCATTTACTTTTTACCCCCATGATGTTTTTCTTTTAATTACAATGTATAACATGGAAAAGATATATATTCCTTCGCAAAAAAGATAGTGGACTTAGATGGTTTGCAAAAATATATATGTAATCAAATGCTTCTGCATGTTTATAATTAATAAGCATGATTTTAATTAATAAACAAAACTTTTGGAGTTTCTCATAATAATGGCCTGGATGTTTATCAGAAAGTAAGGCTCAAAAACTATGTTTTCCCTCAAAATGAATGCCCAATTATTAAGAAAAATTATATTCAAGGGCATAATTATGATTAATTCTGGTAAATGTGGAGATATAATTATAGCAAACAAGTGTTTGATTTATGAGCCGAAAATGAGAGACAATTGTATGTTAAAGCTGATTTTCACTTACCTTGCTACGGGGTCTGACAGTCTGTGTGGAGGTCTGCGGGGATGCTGGAGATTCTGTGAGGGGAGGGGTCCTGCTGGCCTCCCTTGTACTGGGGGTGTGGGGTACCCATTGGTTGGGGACTGGAGAAATGGCAGGTCATTTGGCTGAAGGAATAAACATGTCACCAATTTAATTAAATCCATCTTTATTAAAGATGCACATGCCATTATAAATATTTTGATTTCTATTATTTTACAATCAAGTCTACAACTAGTACCCCCATGAATGTAAACATACAATAACTTAATTATTACTTAATTATCTAAATCTTGGGGTTTTAAAACATTGCAAGTAGTTGACTTAAAGCTGAGTTGTGGGGGTGATTTCAAAATTTTGACAACCCACATTTATTGGGGTAACAACAAGGTACATAATTTATCAATTTATATGGTTATTTGCTTGCAAATTGACTTTAATGTAATGTTTAGATAGATGTCGCATCATACATATTGCTAGTTTTTGAAATAGCCGTCAGAGGCGGGGCATAGTGAACAAAATTGGCAAATCAATTTACTAATTTATTAGTATAGAGCTTGAGCTCTCAATTGAATTAACCAGTTGAATAGGAGTGAAATATAAATGTAAAAATACAAACAATTGCTGTTACCATAGAAGCATTCCCACTCTGGGGCATATACTGCCCCCTTTGTTGTGGAGATTGGCTGTTGAAGACATCATACCCACTCCCTCCATTATTGCCATTGTAAAACTCAAAACTGGGACGACGATGGAAGAAATTAGTGGGCGTGATATCGCGTGATGAGAAAGCGGAACTTCCATTATAGGTGGAGACACTGTGTATGGAAAGTGGAGTAGCGATTCCCATTCTGAAAAAAGAAAGTTGATGAGTTTTTAGATCAGATGGATTTTCAAAATTCAGTATATAAGCAGAATAGGAATTGTTTAGCAGTATCATGGCAACCCCAATTAATTCAAAGAAAGATTACTTCTGAAGATACATAAAGACATTGGTCGTCTCCATAACTTCTCATCAAATGTCTTTTTTAATAACTCCTGCATTTAATATAGATTTTTCTGTTTAATGAAGTCACCTCCCATCAGCTATCAAAAATGGCTATCCCATCCTTTTTGCATCTTAGTGGAAAAGTATGCTGGGTTCTTCTTGCACAGGTTTAACTGTTCATATTCTTAGTGAATAAAATTTTAAATAATGTTAATTTACCTTTCAAGGTCTTCCAATCTCCTTGCTAGCTTTTCATTCTCCTTGGCGATCTCCTGTTTGTCTCTCCTGTAGCGATCTTGGCTAGCTTGGAGGTCTGAATTCTCTGATCTGGAATGGCAGTTATTTACAGGGTAAAAATGCAACCCTCCATTTTTGGAATTACATTCTTAATTATAAGGGGGGGGGGGTAGGTACAAAATATTTCAAAGCAAATGAGTGACATATACATAATAATTCATAATTTTTTTCGACATTGTTTTTTTTAATTTTTTACTGTATCTGCATTTTATAAAAAGCAAATTTTCAGATGCAACAGAGAGATGCTGAGTATCAGATGCAACAGAGAGATGCTGAGTATCAGATGCAACAGAGAGATGCTGAGTATCAGATGAAACAGAGAGATGCTGAGTATCAGATGCAACAGAGAGATGCTGAGTATCAGATGAAACAGAGAGATGCTGAGTATCAGATGCAACAGAGAGATGCTGAGTATCAGATGCAACAGAGAGATGCTGAGTATCAGATGCAACAGAGAGATGCTGAGTATCAGATGCAACAGAGAGATAATGAGTATCAGATGCAACAGAGAGATGCTGAGTATCAGATGCAACAGAGAGATGCTGAGTATCAGATGCAACAGAGAGATGCTGAGTATCAGATGAAACAGAGAGATGCTGAGTATCAGATGCAACAGAGAGATGCTGAGTATCAGATGCAACAGAGAGATGCGGAGTATAGACTGGTTATTGCTGACATAAAGATTACTTTACATCCTGGTCTAACCCCAAGAAATATTAGGAAAAAAATTATATTAAGTCTAAATACCTTAACACTTCATTCTCAACCATATACTCCTGAAGTATTTCATATAGGCCATCATCACTAGGGGGCAGTGCTTTTTTTTCTTTATCCTTCCCAGAATTCTCAGATTTCTTGTTTCCTACTTTTGATGCGTCTTTCCCATCTTAAATAAAGTATAAACTTATTTTTGTAAATATTTTTATGGGCCAGTCAAAAATTGGTTCACTAACTTTGACATAAATGGTATACTTTATTTGGATTCAGTTTCACATAAAACTAATACTGCACAGAGCAGAGAGAAAATGTACCAATAGTTGTCAACTTTGAAAAACAACAATTGGTAGTACATGTACATGTAAAGTAACCAGGTTACATTGGTTTTGCTTACTTTTGTTTGTTTGTTTTTGTTGTTTTAGCCACTCCAAGAACCTGGGGTCATTTTCCTTAAGTTGTTGACCTTTAGGTCTATCGGGAAAATCCAATTGTTGACGTAAATAAACATTTTCTTGGCGCAAGGTCTTTACTTCTCGCTTTAGTGTCATTATTAGTTTCTCTCGAGGGTCCTATAAAATAGAAAAGAATATACCAATACGCGATAATGTTTAGTTTTCATTCTTAACTCTCGTTTGAAGAGCTCTCATGTATGGTACAACTTCGTCTACATCCGGGTTCTTTCCTATTGGATTACACAGGGGTGCTATTTTCAATGCCGCACTGCGACTCTATTAAACATTTATGTAGAGTTTCATTTGCACAAACGATGGGTATGTATGTAATTAAGATAATAACAAGGCTTTTTGAACTGTAATCCCCAAATCCGAAGAAATCTGTAGTTGAAAATGCCGTCCAATTCCAGTGACGTCACTGATTTCCCAGACTTCATTGGAGATCGAAAAAATATCAATAATGTTACTTTGAATCTCCGATTATCTTTCTGATTATTCAATAGCTTTGATCATATAACTATGCTTGAGGGCTGATGGAAGATCAGAAGCTGAGAAACGTTCAGAGTATTCGACTAGTTCGGCGGGCCAATGAAAATTTGTCCCTTCCAAATCGATGCATCATGGGAGATATTTATGTAAATTACCACCAGAATAGTGGGTGAATGAATGCATGCACGAACGTAATGAATGGGTGTGAATGGAGTCAGTAAGATCATGTAATAATTTTGTGTTATTATTACTATTTAAAAATGATTTATAGACATAGTACATATATCTATATGAAAGAACTACTTGTATTTAATGAAGCTTGTACTTGAATTGTATTAAATTATTACTTGAATAAAAAAAAAAAAAAAAAAAAAAAAAAAAAAAAAAAAATTACCACCAGAACTCTTATCGCGAATAGGAGTATTAACATATCTAAACAATACTAACACTGTACCAAGAGTGTTGTCTGGTGTGCTTACTCCAAGGTTAAGAGATTGCCGCTGTCAATGAGGCAACAAAACATATTCAAACAATACTAACACTGTACCAAGAGTGTTGTCTGGTGTGCTTACTCCAAGATTAAGAGATTGCCACTGTCAATGAGGCAACAAAACATATTCAAACAATACTAACACTGTACCAAGAGTGTTGTCTGGTGTGCTTACTCCAAGATTAAGAGATTGCCACTGTCAATGAGGCAACAAAACATATTCAAACAATACTAACACTGTACCAAGAGTGTTGTCTGGTGTGCTTACTCCAAGATTAAGAGATTGCCACTGTCAATGAGGCAACAAAACATATTCAAACAATACTAACACTGTACCAAGAGTGTTGTCTGGTGTGCTTACTCCAAGATTAAGAGATTGCCACTGTCAATGAGGCAACAAAACATATTCAAACAATACTAAAACTGTACCAAGAGTGTTGTCTGGTGTGCTTACTCCAAGATTAAGAGATTGCCGCTGTCAATGAGGCAACAAAACATATTCAAGCAATACTAACACTGTACCAAGAGTGTTGTCTGGTGTGCTTACTCCAAAGTTAAGGTACAGCTGGAAAGTAACATTTTGGTAAAAAATTGCTATACCTGCACATGTTATTTTCTGGTACAAAATAAAGTATGAAGGCATGTATCAATTTCCTTGCTTTTTTCAGGAAAGTATCATTACATTGTCTTCTTTTAGAATATCTGGTAGGCGTTCAAAGGGAACTCCAGGGAATTCTGATATTTCACACTTCCTGTTTTTCCAAATTTTCTTTCAAAGTTTCCAGACAACACAGGAGCTACCATTGACCTGTTTCCAGGTTTACTAAAAGTAGACAGTGTAATGATACTTTCCTGAAAAAAGCAAGGAAATACACACACGCCTTCATACTTAATTATGTACCAGAAAATAACATGTGCAGGTATAGCAATTTTTTACCAAAATGTTTCTTTCCAGCTGAACCTTAAGAGATTGCTGCTGTCAATGAGGCAACAAAACATATTCAAGCAATACTAACACTGTACCAAGAGTGTTGTCTGGTGTGCTTACTCCAAGATTAAGAGATTGCCACTGTCAATGAGGCAACAAAACATATTCAAACAATACTAACACTGTACCAAGAGTGTTGTCTGGTGTGCTTACTCCAAGATTAAGAGATTGCCACTGTCAATGAGGCAACAAAACATATTCAAACAATACTAACACTGTACCAAGAGTGTTGTCTGGTGTGCTTACTCCAAGATTAAGAGATTGCCACTGTCAATGAGGCAACAAATGGCATTTTGAACACTAGGCAAGCAATTGGAGGTATGGTATGTGAGATAATACATGATAAATGAAAATCTGAAACTTACCATTCTAATGACAGGTTTGTTTTTAATCTTCTTAGCCCTGTTGGCATATCTAAGTGTATTCATAGTCTCACTGACATTGTAGCTTGCAGTTGATACACAGGCAATCTAGAATTAAATACATTGGTGTATCTGAAGCATTATATCATATGAAACTGAGCATGTTTATTACCAAATTTTCTAGAATTGATCTCTATCTTCTTCCAAATAAGTTCTTAATCTTAGACACCCTATAAGTTCAAAGTATGATGATCAGTATTCATCTAAGGAATGTTTCGTGTTTCAATATATTTTCCAATCATGCAATCCCCAATTATAGTAACTAAATAGCATTCATATTTAAACATTATTTCATTGATTTTTCTAAGACTAGCAATTAACAATATACATTTCATATGTACATGTTGCAGGCCCGTAGCCAGGGGGGGTTCGCAGGGTTCGGGCGAACCCCCCCCCCCCCCCCCCCCCCCCCCTGGCCAAAAATTCTCTCACAATCATGCAGTTTTTCACCATTTTGAGCACTTCTCAAGTGATTTTAGCCATATTTGGGCCAAAATTGTCAAATGTGAACCCCCCCTGGAAATTTTTGAAAACTGAACCCCCCTTCGCAAATCCTGGCTACGGGCCTGTTTTGTGTATATTTTTTACCTACTTAATCGCTGGAATTGATTTCTTCTTGCAAAACAAATCACAATAAACAAGAACTGTGCATGTTACACTGTCTAGCACTTCTTATTCCTTTAAATGCAACTGAAGTAGGTCAATGTTTATTGTTAAACTTTTTCTTAGAACTCACCATTAACGTGACACCGCTTCCTCCTAAACTATCTGCCAGTAATTTAGTAAGTTTACTATCTCTGTATGGAATGTGTCCAAGTTTCTTCTTACTATCCCCCAAGGCAGATATACAATTACCTGAAATATATATAACAAATAACATTTAATAAGATATTTAAGGTAGGCCAAGCAGAATGAATTATCAGCTTATTCACTTAAAATGTCTCACCTTAAGGAATATTTGAAACAATATTATTATCGAGTGAATAAAAAACATTGATTTCTACTTAAAGAGTCTTTACTGCCTAAAAAAGTCCTTGTGCTCTTTTAATCCTACTGACCCCTGAGCTAAAGGATCCCTGCCATAGCTGAATGATAATAATGATTCAATAACAGAGCATTGAAAGACCTACTTTTCATTCCTGAATTATCTTCATCTGAACAGCTCAAGGTTATACATGTGTGTCTATGTTATTTGCCATATTGTTGATCGATAAAAGATCAAACTGTTCATGTTAACAAAATGACAAAATAAACATTAGCTTAAAGTGTTCTCAGAAACCAATATGTAAGTCCCAGTACTTGAATAAAGTGCTTTGTCGCAAATTATATTTTGGTGAGCATGACCTTTTAAGGCAATGAAATTAACTCCATTCTTTGAAAATGTTAATTTACATGTAATTATATTTTAGAGCCACTTATAAAATCTCATTAAATATGTTATTTAGCAACAGTTGACATTTGTCACCATTCCTCACTTACCAAGAACTAGGAGACTTCTATTTATATTATTGCTCTCAACAAGGGATTCTCCAGTAGCATTTGTGTCTTTCACCTTTTCACTGCCTGAAAGTAAATTTAGTAAAACATGTGTATGGGAAGATCTTTCAGGGATAGGTCTGAGGGATATTTGACTGAGGGAGGGGATGATTATAAAGTTCTCTCCTGCCTTTGCATCAGTGGGAAAATGACAGTGTTTGAAAATGAGGGCACATGTTGCCAGAATACCCGTGCTTTGATAAACTGAGCTTCTCAAAGTAACCTGGCAATAGTATAAGTCCCTTTTCAATTCTAATGAATTTGGACATTTTATAAGATATCTCATCTCTTTTTCAGAAAATAAAATTAGAATTGTCTGGGAAACATTGGCATGATTATTGAAAGACTGCTTCAACATTTTATATTCTCTTATATTTATTCTCATTACTTTAAGTAGATACAACTGCTGTTTTTCCTCCAACCTGTCAAGTCAATAGCAGGTTCAACATACACTTAACCACATAAATATATATTAAACCTACTGATGCAACATTAATATGTCAAATCAAAAATAATTCACATTATTAGCCTTATCCTAATAAATCCAGATGCAATAATAAAGTACCATTTAAAGCAATACCAGTGATCTCCCCATGTCACTTTTACCGGGGGCTCCCCCTACTTGAAACCAAAGGCCCCCCAGTTGGCACCCAGTTGGCATCTGCACTTCAACTTCTGATTTAAAGAATGAGTGAAGTAAGCACCTACACTGAGATATTGTGAGCGTAGCGAGTGCTGATTTTTTTAGACTTGAAATCTTGCACCCAGTAGAAATTTTTTTTGGGGGAGAACACTGAATACCTAGTTAGAATACAGCAGGCTCTCTACTGTATCAATGTTTTGCATGGAACAATTCCAATACTATTAATAATTCATACATTAAACAAAAACCTATACTTGATATCTACAAAGTCCCTTTCAGATTAGTACATGCAATATGCTTAGTTGCTAATCCCTCTAAAAAATCAGATTTTCATACTATTTGAAGTAAAAATGGATTTTTCCATTTTCTTTTGGTAAATTGGTATTCAAGCCTATCATAAACTACTTCTAAGTTCCTTAGATAAATATATTACAAAGTTTCACACAATCTTTTTTAACCTTACTATTAATCAACATCATTGAAGGATCCTATACTATAATTGTCAATTGGTGTGTCAATTTTTGCATCATACTCAGGTGTATATGCAACCAGTGCAACAGTAAAATAAATAAATACATGAATAACATTATAAATTATCTGTAAACAAAATGATAAAATCTCTTTTTTGAAAAATATCTCATAACAAGATAATCATTATATAAAGTGTTATATATATACATTATACCTTTTACGACAGTTACTATATAAGCTCTCCAAACTCAACCACTCTCCTTTAAATTAATTCCCATACTCAAGTCAAGTTTTTTCCAAATGAAACATCAGAAGCTGACATGAAAAGACCTCTTAAACCTGATACTATATTCCATTATAAATGTTGATGTTGACATAGAGATACAAAACACTCAATTGGCAAACCTAGATATTTGTATATGATATTATGCTATAATTTGCCTGCATGCATGCCTCTAAAAGGTCAATGAAGTAAAACATTCTTTGATCATGACTGAATTTGTATCAATAAAAATAGAATACAGTATCGTATTATAGTGGCCTCTGTATATGTGTACATTATAGTTCAAGCTAGAGTAGTTTAATTCTATGTTTAGTTTTGTTATTGTAGAAGAATAGGAACGAGGTTTTTATTCTTCAGAATAATAAAAATATGCATGCTAAAAAAAGCAATAAAATAATAATAACCGACCCTAACTTTGATGGTTTTTACATACCTGCAAGGTCAACAAATGTGAGTTTTCCATGTTTGGTAATATAGAGGTTAGGATCATCAGGGTCAGCAATCTCACTATCTATCATTAGAGTAAGGATACTATGACTCCGACTCGAGAAGTCATTCATTGAGTGAGAGCTGGTCTGTCTGTTCCGTAACCCTGCAATATAATGAAATACATCGAGTGAAAGCTGGTCTGCCTGTTCCATAACCCTGTTATATAATGAAATACATTGAGTGAGATATGAGACATTCTGATCTGAAAGATTCCTAGAAATAATTATATCACCTGATAAGTTTTCTTTGTTATGGTTAGGTATTCCATCAACAGTGTCATTTATTTCCAGTTTGAAAGTCCCTAAAACTTCTCCATTATCAGTCTGAATGCAAATTACATATTCTTCATTGTCACTTTTATTTGCCTTCAATTCATTTGATTTATGAACAGGCGCTGCTTTTTCATTGCCTGTTTTGGGTTTTAATGAATCTGCTTTAATATAATCATCATTTTCATCATTAGAAAAATCATCATCTGAATTACCATCATCTGAATCATAAAAGTCAATGTAGTCTTCTTCTGTATTGCTTTCTTCTTTGTCACCATGGTAACTAATGTTTTTAGTTTGGTTGTTGTAGACACTATTTTCATGATGAGTTTCAATTTTTGGTGCCACTTGTATTTGTGAGCTTTTGGCTTCACGGAGCAATTTTTCTCTATAGTCGCGTGAATATGAAAATTTCGTCACATTTTTCCTCTGGTTCAATTGAATTTTATTTGATGTTTTTTGGTTGTTATGCATTTTGGTTGATGTTTTCCCATTGCTATGTATTTTGATTGATTGATATTGTTTGATATGAACTGATGTTTCTATGAGTTTCCTGTCTCTGGAATTCCATACATACACACATTATCTTATGCAGTGTTCTGAGTGTTTTGTATATGAGAGTACATCTTATAATATGAACTGACATTTAACATTGCCTGATATAACCACCAGTTGGTCCTTCTCATAAGATATATTTTAATTAACACAACTAGTATGTTTATATCTGTTTCTATGGTGACACAATAGTTTCTGATATCTAAATCAATCATGAGAGTGCTTAATCAAACAATATCAATACTCAATCATACTTCTAATTCAGCTGATTTCTTCATATTAATGTATTCATACATTTAATCAACACCATTCAAGATATCTAAATATAATTATATGTATATGAAATACATGTACTTCAAATCCACCTATTCTTATATACACTACCTTATAAATGACCATGTTCAATACAATACAAACTGATATGAGTGGACACACTCAAATGAAACATTTCAAGAATATATTTTCACCAATTGTATTCTGTTAAATATTCCAAACAAAATTTCCAAAACTGATGTCTTCCCTTTAATAATAGCAACATTCAAAGATGACACCTAAAATAATACCCTCTCTTTTGTCAACCTGTCAATTTATTTTGACTAAAATGAATAAAATTCTTAAAATATTTTGTAAGGGTAGGTCTTGTATTTTATCTTTGTCACGAGCTTTTGTTAACAATGTAACATAAATGTTATCTGAATGAGTGCCTGAAAGCTGATAAATGCCCAGTACAGTAAAACCTGTCTAATCCACGGGACCAGCCAAAAGCGTTCAAATTGGCAGGTGTTCAAATTTCGAGGATTTTGTTGGTCGGGGGGGGATTTTCATTGTTCAGTCCACTATATTGAACACTTAATACTAAGTCAGAAAGCAATAAATGTTGTTGATGAGTTAATTCTACAATAGTCATATAGCCTATATGCTATGTTTTATTTATATTTTGAACAATATCATCGTTTTAGTAAAAACAACTCTTATATTTTGACAAAAACTTTGTAATACACTGTAAAAGTATATGATAGTCTTGTATGAAATCTTATGCTTATCAAATGACTTATCCCACATTATGGTAAAATAGCACTGCTTTACTTTTGCTTGAAAAAGTCCTTCATTGTTGTTTGTTTCTTGGCACTTCAAGTTAAAAGAATTTTTCATGAGTGTTCATTCGAGATGATGTATAATCCTTCAAAATATCAAGGGCATTCAGGATGTCAGATGTATGCCTTTTAGGAGACATTTTAGTGATAGGATATTACAAAGTTGAATTTTTTTCTCTTTCTCGTGATATAATCTTGTCTGCAAATGTCGTCTGTGTTGTGATTATAAAACATTTGCTGATTGAATCTTAGCTATCATAACAGACCCATGGGAGATAAAACAGTTAAGACCTGTTCATAATCCAAATCAAAAACATCCAGTTAATTTACAATAAGGATAAACCAATTATCTCCCAGATTCTCACCTTTCTCTTAATCCAAATCAAAAACATTCAGTTTCTAAATCTTGTCTGCAAATGCTGTCTGTGTTGTCCTTGTGATTATAAAACATTTGCCGATTGAATCTTAGCTATCATAACAGACCCATGATATATAAAACAGTCAAGACCTGTTCATAATCCAAATCAAAAACATCCAGTTAATTTACAATAAGGATAAACCAATTAACTCCTGTATTCACACCTTTCCAAAACATCCTGTTGTTTTCCACAAATTAGGGATGTCACTGAGACTAAATAAGTAAGTTAGGATAATAGTGGCTCTTTGATTACATTGTATATGTAAAGATAAATAACAACTATGACATTGACTCAATATGTGGCTATAATTGAAATGTCCAGACATTTGATTTCTGATAAAAATGTTCAGATTAGACAGGTCACTTTTTCAAATCTGGTTGTTCACTGTTCAGATTAGGGGGTGTTCAGATTTCAAGGTTTTTTTAACATGGGAGTCAATGGGAGGAAAAAATGGGACCGAAAAAAGTGTTCAAATTGGAAGGTGTTCGGATTAGCCAGGTGTTCAGATATACAGGTTTTACTGTATTTCATTGCATGGTGCTGCCATCTAAATATCAACACTAAGTTTAATAATGGGCAAGAGGAATGCTCATAGTACAGGATGACTGAAAAAAAGAGACCATAGAAGTAGGCAAAACCTCCTAAACTAGACAAGTTTAGTTTATATGTTCATATATCTTTACAGTAGGTCACATTTGCTCAGATTCATTGGCGCCCGGTCGATTGCAGTATTTTGTTCAAAACTGATTTCAACTTGCTTCAAATTGACAAAACTTTTCTTTAAAATCATAAGTTCTCAGGAGTTCATATCTGACCTCAAATTTGAGATTTGACCTTCAATTTTGAACAAAATACGGGTGTCGACTTTTGGCAATCAACCGAAGATACCTCAAGAAAAGCCGGAATTTGCCGAAGATTGCTGAAGCTTTTCTTTGCAAACGGAGTTGGCCGAGGGTACCACTAATGTGAAGAGGCATCTCTAATTGGTCAAAAATAGAGGCTCGGCATTCTCCGTCAGACTGAATCGGCAAAATTCGGTTGTAAGGCTTACCTTCGGTTGTATGGCTTACCTTCGGCTGCATGGCCCAACCTCGATTGATTGGAAAAGATGCTGTCCCAACAAAATACTCTATTGGCCAGCCGCTGGCCGAAAAATCAGACCAAATGTGACCTAGGCATTAGGATGAAATTTTGAGATATATTGACCAGGATTAAAACATACCTGCCAACCTAAGACCAAAATTTTGCGGTAGATTTTTTAAAATTGCTGTATTTTTGCGGTAGATTTTTTCAAAATACGGTAGTTTTTGCGGTATTTTTCAACAAAATTGCGGTAGTTTTTAAGGTAGATTTTAGAAAAAACGGTAGTTTTTGCGGTAGATTTTTAAAAAAACTGTAGTTTTTGCGGTAGATTTATAAAATAAACGGTAGTTTTTGCGGTAGATTTAAAAAAATACTGTAGTTTCAGAGGTTTGGGGTAGATTTTTGAAAAAAATGTAATTTTACGGTAGAAAAAGCGGTAGTTTTGCGGAAGATTTAGAAAAAATGCGGTAGTTTTACGGTAGATTTTAAAAAATGCAGTAGTTTTTACGGTAGTTTTTTGAAAAAACCGGTAGTTTTGCGAAAGATTTTGAAAAAATGCGGTAGTTTTACGGTAGATTTTTGAAAAAGCGGTAGTTTTGCGGAAGATTCGGAAAAACGCTGTAGTTTTACGGTAGATTTTTGAAAATTGCGGTAGTTTTTACGGTAATATTTTGAAAAACCGGTACTTTTGCGGAAGATTTGCCAAAAATGCGGTAGTTTTACGGTAGATTTTGAAAATTGCGGTAGTTTTTACGGCAATTTTTTGAAAAACCGGTACTTTTGCGGAAGATTTGCCAAAAATGCGGTACTTTTCGGTAAATTTGGAAAAAATGCGGTAGTTTTTGCGATAGATTTTAAAATAACTAGTTTTGTGGAAGAATTTGACCTACCCCACATTATTTTATGTGCAATATGTCATTAATTATGTGGGGTAAGTCACTATATGTCCGTGCTATTTGGTAAATGTTCGGTAAATGAACATTGTTTGGTTCTTAAGTATATTTGTATTTGATGTGTGTTCTAAATATATTATGTGTCAACCGTCTTTGTTCGTGACTTAAATATGTGACATTTTACCAAACACTGAATAACATGAACCGCATATACAAGTGCATTTATCGCATATATAGTTACATAAATCAAATATAAATGTGTAAAAACAAACGAATTTATTACGTGTTTCGAACCATTTTAATAGAGTGGAATATCGAATGGTTGTAATCAAATCCAAAAGTGTGAAAATAGAATAAAGATGCAGAAAAAATTCCATAATCCTCATGCTGGTTGGTATATATTATGTATTTGTTACTGATATAATGTGTTCAGATGAAAAATACAACATTTTATCGTACTGAAAACAAATTGATTAAACTATGTATAATGTATATGTGGCGTTCAGTACTGATCATAAACCAAACTACGCATATTTCATACGGTAAAGCAAGTAGTTTTTGTCATTTCCACTCATTTATTTAGATGAAGCGCAACTAAAATCATATTTTTGTTGCATTCGGAATAAAGATCTGTGTACAAAAGGGTTTGGTTAACTACAAAAATCATGTCAGAAAGAATTCTTTCTTGTGGTAGTTGGTGTTTGGACTGATTATACGCCAGCGTACTTAGATAAATGCGCAATAACCTGATAACCACAGACCTGTCGATACCTATTTATATTCGGGTTGGTGAAGGAATATTACAGGGACAGTACAGGAAGACTTCAATTTTTCAGCATTTCCCAACAATAACGGGAAATTTTACGGTAGTTTGAACAAAAATACTGTTGATTTTAGCAGAAATACGGTAGATTTTCGAAAATTTACGGTAGATTTTCGAAAATTTACGGTAGATTTTCAAAAATTTACGGTAGATTTTACGGCCGTTCTCATGGAAGAAACGAGTTTTTAAAAAATAAATTTACGGTAGATTTCGTAAAAAATACGGTAGATTTTTTTACGGGCGTTTTTACGGGAAAAACATGGTATTTTTTTACGGAAGTTTGTCATTTTTTCACGGAAAAACGAAAAATTTACGGTAGATTCCCGTAAAAATACGGTAGGTTGGCAGGTATGTAAAAGGTAATGTTTGAATTTAGCAGCCTGCTGAAAAGAAAACCTGGAAGTGTCACTGCAAATAGAGTTCTGAATAACTGACCTTCTTCTAATATTGCTTGAAGGTCATCCAACATCTCACATTCAATAACAAACAGGTTCTCCACATAGAAACCTTGCGTCTTGCTCCATCTTACTGAAAGGTGCTTCCTCTGGCCAGGGTTCAACAAATCAATCACCTAAAAGAATATAATCCTCATTTAAAGTGGCAATCACAATCTCCATCTTACTGAAAGGTGCTTCCTCTGGCCAGGGTTCAACAAATCAATCACCTAAAAGAATATAACCCTCATTTAAAGTGGCAATCACAATCTCCATCTTACTGAAAGGTGCTTCCTCTGGCCAGGGTTCAACAAATCAATCACCTAAAAGAATATAACCCTCATTTAAACTGGCAATCACAATCTCCATCTTACTGAAAGGTGCTTCCTCTGGCCAGGGTTCAACAAATCAATCACCTAAAAGAATATAACTCTCATTTAAAGTGGCAATCACAATCTCCATCTTACTGAAAGGTGCTTCCTCTGGCCAGGGTTCAACAAATCAATCACCTAAAAGAATATAATCCTCATTTAAAGTGGCAATCACAATCTACATCTTACTGAAAGGTGCTTCCTCTGGCCAGGGTTCAACAAATCAATCACCTAAAAGAATATAATCCTCATTTAAAGTGGCAATCACAATCTCCATCTTACTGAAAGGTGCTTCCTCTGGCCAGGGTTCAACAAATCAATCACCTAAAAGAATATAATCCTCATTTAAAGTGGCAATCACAATCTCCATCTTACTGAAAGGTGCTTCCTCTGGCCAGGGTTCAACAAATCCATCACCTAAAAGAATATAATCCTCATTTAAAGTGGCAATCACAATCTCCATCTTACTGAAAGGTGCTTCCTCTGGCCAGGGTTCAACAAATCAATCACCTAAAAGAATATAATCCTCATTTAAAGTGGCAATCACAATCTCCATCTTACTGAAAGGTGCTTCCTCTGGCCAGGGTTCAACAAATCAATCACCTAAAAGAATATAATCCTCATTTAAAGTGGCAATCACAATCTCCATCTTACTGAAAGGTGCTTCCTCTGGCCAGGGTTCAAAAAATCAATCAACTAAAAGAATATAATCCTCATTTAAAGTGGCAATCACAATCTCCATCTTACTGAAAGGTGCTTCCTCTGGCCAGGGTTCAACAAATCAATCACCTAAAATAATATAATCCTCATTTAAAGTGGCAATCACAATCTCCATCTTACTGAAAGGTGCTTCCTCTGGCCAGGGTTCAACAAATCAATCACCTAAAAGAATATAATCCTCATTTAAAGTGGCAATCACAATCTCCATCTTACTGAAAGGTGCTTCCTCTGGCCAGGGTTCAACAAATCAATCACCTAAAAGAATATAATCCTCATTTAAAGTGGCAATCACAATCTCCATCTTACTGAAAGGTGCTTCCTCTGGCCAGGGTTCAACAAATCAATCACCTAAAAGAATATAATCCTCATTTAAAGTGGCAATCACAATCTCCATCTTACTGAAAGGTGCTTCCTCTGGCCAGGGTTCAACAAATCAATCACCTAAAAGAATATAATCCTCATTTAAAGGTGCAATCACAATCTCCATCTTACTGAAAGGTGCTTCCTCTGGCCAGGGTTCAACAAATCAATCACCTAAAAGAATATAATCCTCATTTAAAGTGGCAATCACAATTATTACAACTGACCTTTACCATCTTCATGTTGATAAGTCTAACTTTAATAGCATTTTATGGAAGTTATGAAACAAAAGTGAGAGAGAAAATATAATGAAATTATTTTTGAGTACACAGTCTGGTTGGATATAGGCTAATACCAAAGAATTATCACTCGTATGAAGAGGGTCAATGAATGTTAGCTCTTGTACAGAGTACTTACTTGTTCATTGTATATCTCTAAATAGGATGCATGTATGGTATATGTGGTAGTGGCCTTTCTTCTGTCTAGTTGTTGGAATAGGTACCTAAATGATCTTGGAATAAGGCCCATCTTGGAATTATCCATCTTTTCATTTGCACCACTGAGCTTAAAGCAATAAGTGTTTTTTCATTTTTCAGCCTTAAAAGTCAAGTAATAGCATTCATTACAGGTGGATTTAGGTAATTAAAAATAAAGGACTTTCATTGCCCTTTTTTAGTCCATTTCTACCTTTAAGTACACTTATTTCACAAAGATGGCGTGAGTATATCAATTCATTTGCAATACTTGAGTTTCAATACTGGATTCCTGAAACTGTATGGATATGTGTTTTATAGAGTAAGCTTCAGGGTCAAATATTCCTGACAATAATCTTGCTAATAGACCATGACTTGTATATGAATTGTATAAAACGTTCACATACAAGACCATGGTCTTATGAAAGTAAAAAGAAATTATAAGTAGAAAGACAGGATTTCTGCATTTTGTCATCTGCATAAAATTATGTACAGGAAATAATAACACTGGCCTCGTACTAATGATCAATGTTACCTTTGACAACTACATTTCCTGTCATGACTACTATACTGTCATGAAAATAACATTTCCTGTCATGACTACTATACTGTCATGAAAATAACATTTCCTGTCAAAATACATACATGTACTTGTCAAAAGGAGGGAGGCTCAAATTGCCATATTTTGCCAAAATTTCAAAATTTGCAAATACTGTACTGACAAAGATTTTGCCTAGATACACGATCCCCATTAAAGGCAGAATCAGATCTATAGGGGGTGACAAAATTACAAGGAACGTGCATAATTGACCTACCAATCTATTCCTTACAATATCAAATACAATATCTCCCAAAAAATTCGCAATATGTTATAAATTGGTGAAGTTATGAATAATTCAAAGTGCAAAAATGGGTGGAAAATGTTTAAATTCTCCCAAATAATAAGAATGGTAACCATTCTTATAGAAAAATAGTACATTATTGTAAAAATCTTTCGTTTTCCTTGAATAAAGTATGCACTTTTGTGAATTTTAGAAAATAGACATGACAAGGAATGACATGAGCCAAAAATATTCTAAAATTGAAACAATTTTTTGTTTAGCCTGCTCGCTATCTCTGATTCTCTCTTTAAAGCAGATATGAAATGGTATTTTTTAACCTAAAGGAATCAATATAATTTTTTGATAAATGTATTTGGACATGTTTTCTCATCAGTAGTGCGAAAACTATTTCACTCTAACGATCGTTATAGCTGCTTAATAAGCAATATTCGAATTGGTTGTGACGTTATTGGCCCCCACGTGATCTCTCACTGGTCCCCACGTGGCCCATAACGTCATAATGCCAAAATGTTTTGTTTTGGTTTACACTACAATCCTATGGTTGCCGTGACGTTGTGATTACTAAGGAAACAATAAACCAAAGCTATATTTTGTATATGACGTTACTTATCACGTGGGGGCCAATTTGATTGATCAGTTAGTTTTATTTCGTTATTTATGACCGTTAGCAGTTATCTAACATTTATTTTATAATGACTATCGCAAGAACTCTACGTTGGGCTTACAATGGAGAAAACCGCATTTTTGTAGCTGCAAGTTGAGAAAAGCTATTTCAGTTGTCCTTTAAATATCTTTCAAAAGGGCATATGAGAATTTTCTAAAGCTACGTTCACACCAATGGTGCTTTGATGGCACTTTAAAGTTGCTTGTAAAGCGGCACAAAAGCGTAACAAAGCTTGATTAAAGCATCGAGGTCGTAATAGGTCGTAGAAAAGCTCGGAGTAAACCAGGATATTCGGCAAGAGCGCCAAACATTTTTAAAGCTACTTTCACACCAACGGCGAATGCCACGCTTTAAATCGGCGAGCAAAGCGCTGTCATTTATGTTTACTTTTCCAAAAATATCACGATCTCCTAAGTAATGTTACGCTCTGATAAGCTCTGGTACACTCTGATTTCCCAACTTGTTACGGTTCCTCACGCTATGATCCCTCTTCGACCAGGCTTTGTTACGCTTAAAATCACGCTTTGATAAGCTTTGGTAAGCATTATTACGCTTTGATGGGATTATGACAATTTAATCAGACTCTGATACGATTGCCAAGCTCTGTTGTGCATTTTCGAGATCGCCTTTATCATGACGCTTTTGATCAAATGGCTGTATAAAGATGCAGTAGATCCATAAAACCATTGCATCTGTGACTCGAGAAGACAATGGCAGAACAACAAGATCCAGAAATTCCAGATGGACTAGATCATGACCCATCTGAAGAAGACACGATGTTTGTCGCACGGCGTGAAAGAGCGTGAGAAAGCGTGAGGAAGCTTGTCAAGCGTAACAAAGCTTAAACAAGAACACAAATGTGTACAAAATGTCCCCACCAATGGGTGATCACATGAAATGGTTATCCTGAAAATGAGTAGACAAGACTTTACCAACACAATTTTAATTGATCCGTCACACAGTTAACTAGAAAACATGTAAACAAGACTTTACAGACAAGATTTTAGGATGGAAAATCCAAAATGGCTGCCTTGACATTTACCCAGAATGTCAAAAAACTAATCTGTTCCTAGATTTTCATACTAAGAATCATCCCGGAAATATGACATTGATCTACCAAATGGTTCACCTGAAAACGCGTAGACAAGACATTACAGACAAGATTTTAGGACAGAAAATCCAAAATGGCTGCCATGACATTTACACAGAATGCCAAAAAACTAATCAGATGTAGATTTTCACACTAAGAATCATCCCTGAAAATTTGAAATTGATCTACCAAACGGTTCACCTAAAAACGTGTAGACAAGACTTTACAGGGATGATTTTAAGACGGAAAATCCAAAATGGCTGCCTTGACATTTATCCAGAATGCCAAAAAACTAATCAGATCTAGATTTTCATACTAAGAATCATCCCTAAAAATTTGAAATTGATCTACAGAACGGTTCACCTGGAAATGCATAGACAAGACTTTACAGACAAGATTTTAGGACAGAAAATCCAAAATGGCTGCCTTGACATTTGCCCAGAATGCCAAAAAACTAATCAGTTCTACATTTTCATACTAAGAATCATCTCTGAAAATTTGAAATTGATCTACCAAACGGTTCACCTGAAAACGCGTAGACAAGACTTTACAGACAAGATTTTAGGACGGAAAATCCAAAATGGCTGCCTTGACATTTACCCAGAATGCCAAAAAACAAATGAGATCTAGATTTTTATACTAAGAATCATCCCTGAAAATTTGAAATTGATCCACCAAACGGTTCACCTGAAAACACGTAGACAAGACTTCACAGACAAGATTTTAGGACGGAAAAATCCAAAATGGCCGACAATAAAAAAGTGATCATGTGTTTTTGCTGATTTCTTCTTACAAAATTATCACATATTACTACTGTTAACAATAACATAGGCTTTAACAACAAAGTAGATCTGAAATTATTTATAAAGCTACTAAATAGTATGAAGTACTATGAAAACTCAAAAACACCATTCAATATGATAGTATTATCGTGCGCTAACTTTTCTTAAGACATTCAAAATGGCTGACATGACTGAGCTAACAGGTCCAAAACCTAATCAGATCTAGAATGAAGTGAGCTGAACAAGATATTAAAGTTTTAAAAGCAACTGTGAAGGCAACAGGAAGTAGGTATCGAGTTAAAATTTTTTCATCCACATCTGTATGCACTCATAAGTTATCCCTGAAAATTTGAAGGTGATATCTGTAGCGGTTTTGGAGAAAACTCCCGGACGTACGGACAGACGGACGGACAGACGGACGGACGGACGTACGGACGTACGGACGGACAGACGGACGCGCCTAGGCCGACAATATGGCCCCACACTATGTGGTGGGGACATAAAAAGCGTTTCAATCCTTGATTAAGCGTCTCAATTCGTTAAAAAGCTTGAGAGTCCTTCATGAAAGCGTAACAAAGAGTGTCAGATATTGATGAAAGCGTCTGACCTCGTGTCAGATCTTCATGCCAGATTGTAGCAAAGCTTGAGACATCTAAACGAAGCATGTCAAGTGGTAACAGACCGTGAAGAGACTGGAATCCCCGCTTTGAACCAAGCTCTGTTAAAGGAATATTCCGTGCCAGACCCTTTCTCTCTTGATATGGTAGCTATAATCATTATATAGTTTCCATATTGAGCAAAACATGGGGAAATGTTTTAATATGGTCAATATTGATCATTTAAAATCTAGTGCTTATTTCCAGTGAGCTGCCATCTTTTAAGATTTCTTGCAGGAAGTGATGTCATCAACTCTCAACCTCTTTAACCTTGCCCATAACAGTATAGGAAAGTAGCACAAAATCAATTCTAGACAAGTTATCATTACTTTCTGTGCAAAAATATTTTCAGGGCTTGTCAACTTAGAATAAAAGAAGAGATTTTCAGAAGGATTAAATAAGATACAAAGTTGAAAAAGAATATTTAGCTGGTTTTGTAATTCTTAATAGCTCCTCACCTAATGCTATATGCAAAGTTGAGAGTCGATGACATCACTTCCTGTGTGAAATTTTAAAAGATGGCAGCTTATTGGAATTTGGCATCACATTTCTAAGTGATCAAATTTGACCATATCAAAACATTTTTGCGTGTTTTGCTAAACATGGAAAGCATATATATGGTTATAGCTACCATATGAGGAGAGAGATGGTTTGGCAAGGAATATTCCTTTAAGCTTTCCTACGCTTTGGGTCAAGCTTTGCTGAGCTTTGTTACGGTTTGTTAAGCTTTGATACGCTCTCGGCGCTTTAATCAATTCGTAACGGAGCGCTCAAAATTTTTAAACAGTTTAAAAATTTTTGGCGCTCTTGCCGAACATCCCGCTGTACCTCGAGCTTTTCTACGACCTATTACGACCCCGACGCTTTAATCAAGCTATGTTATGCTTTGGTGCCGCTTCACAAGTCCCTTTAAAGCGCCATGCTTTTGTGCCGCTTTGTTCGCCGATTTAAAGCGTGGCATTCGCCGTTGGTGTGAATGTAGCTTGAAGGAGAATGGGAACATGCATGATTGTTACATGACTCTCTAGCCCACCATGTGCATGATGAATCTACGAAAGTAATACTTACCACATCTGGGGGACCTGTTATTGTATGGGTCTTTCCAGAGCCAGTCTGACCAAATGCAAAACAGGTGCAGGAATACCTAAAACAAGTAAATAGAAAAATGTCAATGACAGAAATTCTTTAGTTGTATCAAACTCTTTTTTCTCTAAAAGAGCTTTGGGTGCTCATTTTTCTTCCAGGTTTGTCCCTTGACTGTCATAAACTTCAATATTGAGAAGCTGGAGAGACCAAGTAAAAATATATATTACAGAACATGTATATATATCATACTGTTCATGACTACTCAACTGCACAGTGTACTATCTAAAATATATATTTGACAATAAGGCATTCACATGATGAAATGACAACACCTGGAATTACTGAAAAAGTGTAACAACTTGTTACATATACCAATGCCAACCACAAAACATTGATCATAAAGCAAAAAGGTTGCTTTAAGGCTGTCCCTACTCGCCTAGTATTTTTTTCCTCGGATAGGTATTCTGGCATATCCACCTCATGGTCATCCAGTATTTGTTTAATATCTATCAGACTGGAATACCCATATGCAATATAGGACCTGTAATATCCCTATGCAATACAGGACCTGTAATACCCCTATGAAATATAGGACCTGTAATATCCCTATGCAATACAGGACCTGTAATACCCCTATGCAATACAGGACCTGTAATACCCCTATGCAATATAGAATCTGTAATACCCCTATGCAATATGGGATCTGTAAAACCCCTATCGGAATATGGGATCTGTAATACCCCTATCTATGTAATATGGGATTTGTAGTACCCCTATGATATATGGTATTCGTAGTAGATTCAATATTTTATTGTGTAACAACCCAAAACAATTGACTTCCTCACAAAATCAATTAGAAGACATAATTATACAGTAAAATGCATTGTTAAACAAATATTTAAACATAAATCTTACAAACTAGTGTATTCCTTTTTCAAATAACTCCCGACGTTGATTGAAGTTTATTTATAAAATGTATCAATTCTTTTATAATTTCATAATCATCTGAAATCATTAAAAACTTTAATTTTTCTTCATCAGATTAGATCAACTTAAATTGTTAAAAAATTCATATCTGCAATCTTTATAACCATCGCATAAAATAAGAAAATGCTTTTCATCTTCCACTTCCCCCTTATTACAGTTTTGACAATTTCTGTCTTTTACTTCAAGCCTGCCATCTTTTTCTTTCTCTCGTGTCTCCCTGTTTCAATTCTTAAATTATGGTTTGCTAATCTAAACTTGGGCATTTTAAAAATTAACATTTTGTTCACACTCAAAGTTAAATATCTTTCAAGAACTTTGTAATCAGTTATCATATAATATAGTATCCTTACAATAATATGGGATCTGTACTACAGCCTATAGCAATATTAGATCTGTAATAACCATATGGGGGACTTACATGACATGATGTCTACTGGGTAATTTGACTAATGTGTAAATAAAGTATTATTTTCCTGTATGTAACAGTTGATTGAAGACTATTTGATACTTCCTGCTAGTGTTTATTGATCTTCATAGCAGACTTTAGCAGATTTGTTGCTGGCAGATCTTGGAAGCTAAGGGCTTCGTACCTCCCACTAAAATTGAAAATCTAGCACTCAAAACATTTGTTGAATTACAATTAAAGTATTACATTTTTTTAAGAAAATGGGCCCAATTTTCAAAATGGCCAACAATTTTTTCAGCACAAAAGCAGGGTCTATTGTCAGTTTCTAATTTTCAAGACTTCTGACATTTGGTTGCAAATATCAAATGCAACATACATTACATGACATAAGGGGGCTTAGAAAGCATGTGTGCGTGGTTGTATATACAGACCTATAAAACTTTATCAAAGTTAAGTTGATCAAAATACCCTGATAAATAATAGCATTATGTATTATGTACATCAAATACATCATGTACTTTAAGCAGAAATCTTAAATAATTAAGATCTCAATTACATGTATTTCTAAAATCTGAACAATTTCTATAAATGCTACTACTCCTAGTACTAAATGCCAACACTAGATCCTATCAGGAATTTCTAGTAATATATAGAATGTGATGGGGAGTCTTGTAAACAGATAATTAGAAAGAGCTTCAGATTCCATAATGAGCTTATAATAGATAATATTTATTGCTTCCAACAAGGAAAGAGGGCAGACTTCCTGGAACTTAACCCTCTCTCAGATAATCATACTCTTACCCTTTCACTATAACATATGATTTAGTTTTCTTACTGTTATGATTTTGATGAACACAAGTGTAGCTTTTATATGTATTACTGATGATAACATCTTATTGATCTCAAATGTAGCTTTTATATGTATTACTGGTGATAACATCTTATTGATCTCAAATGTAGCTTTTATATGTATTACTGATGATAACATCTTATTGATCTCAAATGTAGCTTTTATATGTATTACTGGTGATAACATCTTATTGATCTCAAATGTAGCTTTTATATGTATTACTGATGATAACATCTTATTGATCTCAAATGTAGCTTTTATATGTATTACTGATGATAACATCTTATTGATCTCAAATGGACATTTTCTAAGCTAACCATTTTACACTCTGACAACAAACTTTGCTTATAAAGAAAACTTACCCTATTCTCTGTAATAAGTGCCCACTCTCTAATAAGCACCCATCCTACTTCACAAAGTTCAAGAAATATTGAGGAATCACCAAGTTTTAAAGAGTATCAGTGCTTTCAGTAGGTTTGTCCAAGCTAGAGTGCATCCCTGGGATGGATTGATTTTCAAAAAATGAGTCCCCCCTCATAAAAGTGCGTACTGTGAAAAAAGGCTCCCAGGAATTCAAAGTCACATTTTTACACCGAACGAAAAAAAATTGATGAAAAGTTTCTATAATAATCAGTTTTGTTATTTATCTGCCTAAATCAGCGTTCTACAAACGTCTAGTAGGTCACTAAATGATACAGGTACCTTCACTTGAAAGAAATAACTAATATTCAAACATTAAATATGCATTTTCTTTTCGTATTTCGAAGCAAAATCACGAGGGGCAATCTCCGTGAGATTCCATTTATTAGTCCCATTTTATGCGCATGCGCAACAAATCCAGTAATTTGATTAGTTAAAATTATTAAGACGTATGCACGATTAATAATCGCGGCCAACAATAGGACTCATACAGATTAGCGCTCGGCACTGTAGCAACTACTTGGTAATTGTCCTATCACAGGCCTCGTACTATTTTGATTGAAAATTAACTTCCAGAAAATAAACTTCGAAGTCTATCAATTTTGTTAATGAAAACACAGGACTTTACGTCCGAGGGAAGGATCATTAAAAATTTTTGGAGTCCCTTCATCAAAAGCCGGGTCCTCCTAATGTTAAGGATGCATATATATGTTTTACTGGGTTGTATGTAGGACTACATATATATTAAAGGGGTCACAGCTAGGGTCATACTATCAGACTCTACAGACAGCTTGTAGTACACAAATATGTTTTACTACTGATTAAAACCCATTAGAGATAAACCATAGCCTTTTATTGCAGTATGTTTAGATGCATTTACTGGTTGGCCTGGTCTGGATTCTGTATTACAGCAAAACCACTATAAAATGCAAGGTCTTTGTAATAACATCCCATCCCCAGCACTCAACATTAAGGGTAAAATTTCAATGTTGTCACTTTCAGGAGTTTTGCAATGGTTTCAATGTTATCGTTTCAATCAATCATTTTGCCCTGATGCCAAGAGGTTTGTAAAAATACCTTTAGTAGTAATTATTACCTTTCAGAGACATATCTGAAAATGAACAAGGGGGCCTGCATTTCAAATCATAAAAAATTTTGGGTGCTTAAAACAAAAAATTGGGCCTAAATTTTGAAGATATATAAGAGATAAGGCCCATTTTCAGTATTTTGCCTAACATTAAAAGGTAAGGCCCAGAAAGGCCCAGCAATGGCCGAAAGGCCCACTAATTGAGGCCCTAAAAAGTTCTTGGCCCATCCAGATCTACAAGTGACAAGCAGCTGTTATAGTAGATGTATTCTGATTGCCCTGATCTGATAAGGAGTAGATTTTTCCTAAGCTTAATTTACTACATGTATGGTGGCATCACATTATTAGAGATCAAAAAGGGAAAATCAAACATTGAGTAGAATTATTCTGACAAGTAAGGCTGATTAGGCATAGAGGGGTTGACTTTACCTAAAGATATGATTTTGAGGGGTTTGAATGTTTTTTGTTTCTCTGGTGTGACTCTTTGTCAAATTATTGTCAAAACATCTTCTATCTGCAATAGATCATATTGGATATTCATATACTCACCAAATTGTGAAATGTTGTTAAATGTCTTGATAAATATACAAACATTCTAAAGCAGGATTTTTCTTCCTTGAAGGTATGAATGTTTTACCCTTGCTAAGAACTCAACTTCATCAATACTCTCCAAATGAGTGACTGATCCACCAAATTTGTTACCAGAAAATCACAATACATTTTCTGTTATTGATACCTGCATTCATATCAGATAAAGCTCTGATAGAATAGCATATGGAAACTCCATTTGTGACCAATGAGATCTGATTGTACATCATAACTGTAGTGATCAGAGGGTAGTGTTGATATGCAATGAGATTACAGGATTTAGAATACTCTCAGAAGTAACACATGTTCCATGTGTAAGAGATGTTAACATCAGAACATAACTAATCCATTATCAGCTCTTACATCTAAGGAATGGCCCAGGGGTTGCCTATTAGAACTAAGATGCTGGGCTCTTCCCAGCTTTTTGGGATTCAAATGGGTACTGCACCCAAATGAGATTTTGAGAATTACACATTCACCTACTTGAAACATGGGAAAGGTGGTACAATGATCTCCCCTGCATTGAAACAAGTGGGTGCTGCACCCAATTGAGATTTTGAGAATTACACTTTCACCTACTTGATACATGGGAAAGGTGGTACAGTGATCTCCCCTGCATTGAAACAAGTGGGTGCTGCACCCAATTGAGATTTTGAGAATTACACTTTCACCTATTTGATACATGGGAAAGGTGGTACAGTGATCTCCTCTGCATTGAAACAAGTGGGTGCTGCACCCAATTGAGATTTTGAGAATAAGTCTTTCACCTATTTGAGACTGATTTATATTAGAACATGGGAAATGTGGTACACCCAATTGAGCTTTTGAGAATAAGGCTTTCACCTATTTGAGACTGATTATTAGAACATGGGAAATTACGGTATACCTGATTGGTGTTTTGAGAAAATAAGAAAATTATAGGCAGAAATGTGAAAATGTGAATTTTGTATCCACTTGTGAACAAAATTCTGCAGAGAAAGAACACAACATCTATATTAGTATACCAGCTTTATCATTAATTGAAATATATGTTTTATCACAAATGCAAACATGAGGAATAACTATCAGGTCCAAATTATTCTTTTTAAATCAGTAAAATAAAGTAGAGGTCCCATATGGCATAAAGTTGGAACTACTGCACTGAGAATTATTTTGACCCATTTCTCTTGGATGAATGTCATTTGAGGTCACTGTTTAATCAAGATTTAGGATTTGAACATTTAATTGAAATATATGCAGAAATTTCAGAAAACAGAAGACTAAACAATTAGGAAGGACATTATAAATTTACACACTGATGTCAAACGCATACAGCATCAATGGGCTTACATATCCTAGAGTTTACATTTTACTGAGGTGACAATCACCATTGTTCCCTCTTGATACGACTACATTCCAACTGAGAAACATGTGATTTCTTGCTAGCTGTACCTACAGATCTGGATGACAAATCCCCCTAGTATCGTCATAATTAAGACTAGAAAATTAACAGAGACATATTTTAGTATCTGCTAAGTCTTACTTCGCCCTTGTACCATCCCCACGAGAGAAATTGACTAGGGAAGGGGTCTAGGGGCTTATGCTAGGCTAGACCAAAGTCAGTGACTAGATTTTACATCAAGAGCATACAGACAAGTGCCAACTCATGCAAAGTCAAGTGCCCCTTGAAAACAACCTTGTACAGACTTTGTAATTATCCCACATAAAAGATCATATTTCATAAGCAACACTTTATACAAAAAAGTCATGTTTCATTTGAATATCTGAAATTTTTTCTCCTCAGAAATAATGCTGCTTCAAAAAGTGGACACTTAGTGTATTTCATTCTGCTCTTTCCACAGACAATTGTGATAACCAAGAGGCCACGTATTTAGATGGGTATATAATTATTTAGTAGAAGAATATTTATAGGCATACAACTTAGGATGTGAGCAATTCTTGCTATAACAACATTGCTCTTCCTGGCCAGCATCTTCTTCCTCCAATCAATTAATTTTCTCCTCACTTTGATCCAGCATGTTTATTCCAAGATAATACTTGAATAGTACTTAAATAGTAATGATACCAAAGTTCTCAATTTTCAAATGTTTCAACTGGTTCAATGGCAGAATGATACACAACTGCAAATCACCAGAGGTCAACATTTGAAATTGTTTACCTTTAACTGTTACATGATCAATCAGAATAGAGCCTGGGATAATAACAATATTAATTGTCAATTCACTTCTTTAGTTGTTCTTTCCTCATGTAGTGCTCCTCCTCTTCATTTGGGAGTGGGTGGCATTCTCCAATTCTAAGCTCTTATATTTCTTATTTAGTCTGTCAACATGGAAGATATTGTTAACTTACCCATTGATTGACATATCAATAAGTTTCTTGATCCCTGAATGGTCAAAGACATCATCCTGTTGGGCTTCAGGCTCAAACGTCACATTGAATGTGAATGTCTTGTTGGAGCCTTGGTTATCAATCTGAAACACATAAACAAAATCATGTTTAAATATAATAGTATCCAGTATTGATGGATATTTTAACACTATTTTAGACCTTAAATGATCTTATATTGTCTATACTAATCTAGAGGGGGGGAGGGTGTATTGTTGGGTCTTGAGAGTTCCATATTTTCCAGGCCTCATAAACCTATGTGCCCCTCCCATTTGTTATTCCTGTATATAACAAAATAGTAAGAAAGTGGAGGGGTTTTCAATTCCCAGAATATATCAGAATACACAGGGATTGCATGTGTTTTTGTTTTCAATGGTTGCTATTTGTGCTTCCTGATCATGATAAAGTGAGGTTGCAAGATTTGTCAGGGCATCTGAACCATGGACTTTCTCTTGACTACTAGGAGCATTGGGCAGGTTAGATAGCTAAGTGAATACCTTTTGAAGTGTTTAATTCTGCATCTTTTAAAAGAGAGCTTCATCAACATTCTTAGAATAAGAAATGATATTTTGATCTAATATCTACCATGGAACTACCGCATCTTTCAAGGACTTCCAAGGGAAAACCGTTTTTTTTTCAAAAATCTTTACCGCAAAAACTACGGCATTTAGAAAAATCTACCGCAAAAATACCACAAAATGAATATGTTTTGTATTTATATACATTTTTGTAAGAGCACCCAGTATTGTTGTGCCACCGTTTTAAAGGTGTAATAAATAAATAAATAAATATTAGTCAAAGATCTCTAAAAAACATCATTCTCATCAATCAGTATTTTTCTTTCATAAATATAGCTGGCATTTATACTATTTCCAATGGAAGGCAGTTACAGTTACTTTTGGAGTCTTCGATATCTTATCAACATTAAAAATCTATTTGTCCTCCTCAGAGGATTGTTATTACTTCATGTACTTCAGGGTATTGAATGCAAAAACGAAAGTAATGATATCATGTTCAGCATGATCAAGGAAAACATGAATCTCTGACTAAGCAAAAGCTGACAACTAGACTGCCATTCCATAGCCAACTCATTCAAACATGAATATGAATTGTAGCATCCTCCGAACACAGGCCTCCAGGAAGGAACTTTGTGGATGATGTCTGGAACCCTGGTTCGGAGGATGGCATTGTTGCAGTTACTCATATATAAATTAGTTCAAAGCAATCAAATCACAGCTGACAGCCGGCAGTTGCAATCATGACAGCTAGCTAACTGAACCAGTCAGTGTGTAGTTCAAGATGATTCAAAGAATGTCTAGATCATCCTTCTTCAAAGGACTTCATTTATGCTTGAATTCTGGAAAGAAGTGAAATAGCCTTGGACCAAGGATGGTCTAGATGACAAATTTTGATTTGTGACACAAAATTCACAAAAAAAACATTTCCTTTTGAGAGATACTGTATATCGGGTGTCCCAAAAAATGAGACACTTTTTGCCAAGTATTTTCTCAGCAACTGATGAACTAAAGTCACTGAGAATTTGTATAAAGCAGCTTAAGAGTATCATTACCAAGTTGTAAAAATATAAAATATAAAAAAGATGAAGTAAATATTCTGTGAGAACAAAAAAATTCAAAATAGCATGTCAAAAATCCCAACACAGGAGCTCTGCGATGAAACCTCTATAGTGTTTGTACCAGCTATTAGGTGATAGCATTTGTTAATCAGTCAACAAAAGTTTATTTCAATGTTTAGGTGATAGTGTAAATAAATTTACTGGATAAAATGCAAAAATTGTCACTTAAGTTAAAATTGAAGTTTGGAAGCAAAAATGTAAATATGTTCTAACAATATGATTGTATATGAGGGGTGACTAATAAGTTATAGGCATTTTTACATTACTTACTGGTCACCCCTTGTACACATACTTTTTGTAGGGTGGAAGTTTAAATAAACAGTAACTAAAATTGTAACTTAATCTGTAATTGTCTTGTTGTCTTCAGCATGTGCCTTTAACTAAATCATGATCATGACAATTTCCTATTGTGTCTCAAGCATTTATGAATTATTTTGACATACAGTCATCATTGGCACTCACTATATATGGTGAGGGAGTCAGTTAACAAGATATTCTGTTATAAATACATATAAAATACAATAAGATGTTACTTAAAAGTGTAGAATCAATACATTATACATGGTTCATAAAACAGTCATTATAGGATACAACAATGGCATAAATGTCATTTTCAGATTTAGTAAACAAGGCTTACTTTAATCAAAGCCAACAGTTGCTAGCTGAGATGGCAATTAAAGGAACTAAATATTAATCATGCTCCTGAAATGTGATCCTAAAATGTCAGAAATAAACAAAAGTGAACATAAAAAATAAGTTTTGAATTACCATGGGTTTTCTAGAGATTTGCTAGATAAAGGTTATTTTCTAAAATTAAAAAAATAAGTAAAGACTTAAATAACTTAACAGAACCAGAGTTACATTTCAAATGATTCTACACTTTTGATTTTTATATATTTATATTATCTCAATCATCTCAAATGCATCTTTTATGGGAGACTGAATGTAAAATTAGTAGTAGCTATATCATGGGCTTTCAATTGAAAACCCATGGCTTTATGTATACTAATAGGCAAAAAATTATATCTTGATTTTCTAACAGCATATTCTGATTGGATTCTGGCTAGATCTACCGAATTATCTCTTAATTTTATTATAAGAGTGTAGGTAATATTGGTTATGTTGGATCTTGGTATAATAAGTTCAAAGGGTAGTGTCTCAATGCATGATGCATCTGACTGGGTATGGTTGCTACTTGAACATTCTTAACACTTAGGCTTATTGGCGGGCCATGTGTTGGTAGGATAAAACCTTATGTTTTCAAAACATGAAATTCTACCAGGTCCCTGAGAATCAGGCCACATAATTAATTCTTCAAATTTGATCATTTTTACCCAATTTATTTCCAACACATACATGCATGGGAGTACATCTGATACCTTGAAATCAGTGCATGAAATTAATCGTTTTTGCCCTCTTTACTTTTACAACATTGCAGTAAATGATACCTGCAAATGGGACCTCTGAGACCATTTTTTATGTTAATGATCCTGAGATAAGAAATAAAAAAAGAAAATACTAGGACAGAATTATCCATCAATTTATTAAAGACAAATAAGTCAAAGGGCCAAGCGGCCACTTAACAAATCCACTTTGAAGTAAAAGCCTATGAAAAGGGATTAAACTTGTGAAAAACTGAATGCATTTGGGAGCTAGAAATAATCTTTAACGTTGGGAGGTGATCCACTTAGAGAGATTCAGAAAATAGGTAATGGGACATTGAAATATGTTTAAAAAGTCACTTATGAATGCGCTCCACTGACCTGTTTTAGTATGCATTTTGAAACAAAACCATATAATAAGAAGTGTTCCACTCAATAGGTTTTACTGTAATTAGTAGCAACCATGAGAAGATGGTTTAGGAAGTACACAAACTACATAGTATGTAGGATCTTGTGAGATTCGCTTCTATGAAATATGGTGTAACATGAGCTGCAGGATTAGTTATTAATACAAGATTAACAGATTATATCACATGTGCTAAATATATGCACATCTAAGAATAAAAGATCACCCACACATCCAATTACACTTTCCCTATTTATACTCATTTTGCCATCAAATAAAAACCATAAGTAATTATGCTTCAAATCCTTGGGACCCATTTCACATTACAAATTAGCTCTGATTGGTTCAATAAAAATTAAGAGTTAAGCATGGGATTTCAAGACACCCATGGTAAAATTGTGAAAATATAGGAATTTTTTCCAACATCATTACCTATTTTTGAAATGAGACCTAAAAGGTTTTCCTCTGCCCAAAACTAGATAATAGCAATGCTAAGACAATGCCAAATCCCATCAAACAGTCATTTATGGAAATTACTGCCTATTAGCCAAATTGCCATAACACAAGATATAAAAAAAATTCAACTTATCAATATCCTTCTTGAAAATTTGAGCTTTTGAGCAGAACTTGTACTCACATGATGGGACCTATATGTATAAAATATAAACAATATTGGACTAATGGTATTTGAGTTATTGCCTGAACAAATGGATGTATAGATGGAGAGATGGAAAGAGTTATTCTCTATATCCCCCGAACTTCGTTCAATGGGATGATAAAACATACATTTTGAGCCTAGAGGATCTGGGACTCCCCCTCCCCAGATGTACTAGATATTGCAATCCCACAACTGCATGTCCCCCTTCTTACTATGATCTTGACATGGAATAAGAAAAACAAGTGTTTAGGTTCACTGTTTGTTTATCAATACACAAAGACATATACATATTTACAACATTACATTAAGTACATACAAGTATAAAATAGCACTTTAGAAAAATAGTACTGAGAAATTCTAAGTTAGCAGCAGTACTTGATAATTTAAAAGTTGTCCTAAAATTGATTTTGGCTATGGCAATGTAACTTAATAATGGTTATGTACAGAAAATAATTTACAATAGAAAAACTAAATGAAATAAGTCTGGCTTCAAAGCATTGTACCCCCCCCCCCCATCATCCCCACCAATGAGGTAGAGATAGATAGGGGGGGAGGGGTTGTCAGAGGCTTAAGCAAGACTCAATGGAAATATACTTTCTATACTGAATATCCAAGTTATTGCAAATTGTGTCTCCCACATTATAACTACTACTCTTAATATATATTATTAAATACATTTCAAAACATATTTGTACAAAAAAGAAATAACATGTCATTTTGCTCTCTAAGTTAAAAATATGATAATGCACAAAAAGTTTCTGAATTCATGAATTGTTCAAGTCATAAAAGTTATAATTTTGCAACCACATGTGTATAGACCCACATTGTATAAAAAGCTAATACATATTTACTCTTTTTCATGATTGCCTCATATGCACTGTGCCTACTGAGGGACCAGCTCAAATTATCAATTTCTTCAAATTTTGCAAGTACATACATAAGGGTCACCCTGTATAAAAAGCTAATTAAATATTTACTATACAAAATAAACAGATAAAGTACATGTAAACAAACTATTTGCATATCAATTTTTGGAGGGGGATGTAGAGCCTTAAATCAAAACATTGTAATTTAACATAATTCAATATCTGTAAGCCTTAAGAAAGAGGGTCTTGCTTTAGATTTCATTACTTTCACAGAAATATTTTGTCATATTTATCTGATCACTTTTTTCATGCCTTGTTCAAAATATACTTTTTTAAGGCACAATAAAAAGACACAATAATGCAAGCCCTTGGCCCTTATTATCATGATTCCCCTTTCATTCGAAGAATGCTGATCAGAACTACAATCACTTAAACATAACTAATTTAAAGTTAATCGCCTTCTGTCCCCCTAATGACAAACATTAAGATAGACTGATCTATTTTCATTCTTTCTACCCCAGTCTAGTCTATGGACCCATTTTATATATACGAAATACTGAATGTAAGATGATATTCCCCTAATTTACAATGCTATAGTTCATCATCATGCACATTTCCGTAATAATGCAATCTATACCCAGCGTCATGTCCATTTTTACCATTTTGACCCGCACTGATTTCTTGATTAGGGTTCATTTTTTCCTTCTCAGGAATCATCTCATCCTGGTCTTCATGTTTTCGTCTCTTGAAGAAGCCACATTTCCAGAAGCAAATAACGAGTAGGATAAGCAGAAGAAGTCCTGCTATAGCAGCAACGATAATTATCCAAATTGCGATTGATTTAGACTGAGGTTTCACATCAGATGCCCCGACATATGTCGAGACTTGGGTGGTATCTAGGGAATATTCTGTTGGTTTTACCTTATATGGCATTCTCATAACCTGCGCTAATGCCTCAGATGATATAACCACACTCTGTTGTCGCTCCTTTGTATTAAATGAATTCAACCACAGTCTACTGCGGACTTGAATAAGCGCATTTTCTCCTTTTTCCATACTGCGAATTCTGCACATGATAATTGAACACCACTTAGATGTACATCTTAAACGATGCGCCAAGTCATCCCCAACTGCTCTCCGTTGTCTGGAACTCTCGAGTTTAGCTTTCAAAAGTGCAGAGACCTCATCTTCACCAGAAATTGTCACAGAGACATTTGCCGGATTTACAACATCGGTGGTACATTCTCCATTTCCAATGATAATCTGCGGTATTTCCGTGAGATAAAATAAATGGCCACCAGTCTCAAACTGACTAGGCCAAAGAATCTCAACTTGGGTTGATGCGATCGTACTTGGTCCAAAATTACGTACTTCAAATAGATGAATAAGCTGGGGTCCAATGTGCGTGTCAATTGTTGGCTGGATGTGTGTTATCTGAGATGTGTTATAGATTAATTGTTCAGGCTTTGATACTCCAGTCAGTTGTATCCTTGCACTTGCTGTGACGGGAATATCAGCAAGAGCATAGTTATCATTCACTAGAGTCTGATTCTCAACATTAGAACTATTTGCCTGTAAGAGGAACCTCAAGCGTTCAACAGTGCTATTAATTTGGCTCGGAGATACACTGATTGTGAATGCAACATTTTGGTATCCAGGTAAAGGATTGCCTATGTCACATACAACAAAGTTTCCTTCCTCAAGCTCAACTGATGTACAACTCACAGACACTAAGGATGACACATCGAATATTCTGGTATATTTGGTCCCATGTGGTAGATGTAATGTCAATTGTGCTTCAAATGCATCTTCACCTATGTTCTTAACTGCCACGCGAAGATCTACAGGGTTAGTATTTCCATGGATATGTTCTTTAGTTATACCCTCAGCAGTCACAATAAGATCAGGGATGCAAACATTATCTTCACCACAATTCTTCAAAGTTTGAGCAGAGCCCCTGGTGGTTGTTGGGATATAGCTATCAAGTATGGGAATGAGGAACTTTCTACGACGTACAAAAGTATCCTCTCTAAGCCTATAGTTTACATCAACATCAATCGGCGAAAGTTTATCACGAATGTTATTTTTGATATATACATTAGTTGTATTACACCATTTTACTGTTTTGAATAATCGAATGGTTTTACTCTCTGTGTATTGTCTTTCCTTGTTGAGATAATATACTCTACGAGACACATTCTTCTCAGGGTCAAGTTTCCAATCAACATATAATTCTATCTGTTGAGGTACACCAAGTCCAGTGTATGTCATACACGTTGTTATGGAGACGCACGTTACACGATCTCCACTGGCGAGTGTGCACATTTTATTTTCCAGGTTGATTATCTGTGGTACAATTGTCACTTCAGTGGTGATGCGAATTATAGGACGTGTTTTCAACAAAACTGCATTATCGCTGGCATATGCCCCTACAAGGACATCAGGATAGAAATTACTGTCCATATCATAACCTCCTGCAATAGACCAACCAAATGTCTTAATGCTAGGGTGAACATCTGCTGCATATATAACCTGGGAGTGTTTTTCCTGGATGCCCTTACTAGAGCCATGAAAGAAATAAACGGCACCATTCCCATCTTCCCCACCATATGGCGCACCAATTGCTAAATCTTTAAACTTGTCATTGTTAATATCACCAATAGCTGCCAGTGACATGCCAAATCGAGATTTGCTGGCAAATCCAACCAATATATCACTCTTATGTGGTTTGAATTTATTACGTTTGGTTTGGTAGTATATATATACACGTCCAACTTCTTCCTTCTGTCCGAACTCCTCCGTATAAAAAGGAGCCCCGACTGCAAAATCGTCAAAACCATCTCCGTTGAAATCACTCGCAGCAAGCGATGAGCCGAAATAAGATCCAATTTGATCACCTGTAATATTTCTAAGTTGATCAAGGTCGTCATCAAAAATTACGATTTGTCCTTTAAGTTGACCCCCCTTTGGGATCCCAGTGACATAATCCTCAGCGTTATTTCCAGTAAATTCACCAGTTGCGATAGAGTAACCCATCAATGTGTCATCTTCACTTGCGTCACGTTCTGGTGTCTCTGTGAGAGTATCGTCCCTGTTAAGACTCTGAGCAAATATTTGTCCTTGCCAATAATGGCTTCCGACAGCTCCCATAATAAGGTGAGATCCATCTGATGTCAGGACGGCAGACAGTCCAGTTTGACAAGAGCCTTGTCTGTGGTAGCCCCAGTATTCATTGCGACATGGTGAATACTCCCTGAATTCTGTTACGGTACTTGACGATGTATAACATGTCCCAACTGGCTCTCGTCTATTTAAGTCCTGCGAGAAATAAACATAGCGTGGAGCGCATGCCACAATTTTACCATCTCTTCCAGAGCTATGGACTGTTGCGCCAAACCATTGGTTTGACTTATCTTCCATTTGTACGAAATCTCTGCCATTCCATTGGATATTGTTCCCTCTTAAATCAAAAGGAATTGGTTGACAGTCATTCGCACGATTGACTTTACATCTGAGTACAGCGCCACCTTTCACTATCTGCTCCTGTCCTGTTTGAGTCAGTGGCGCCCCCACCAATAACCAATTGTTATTACGATCGATATGTTGAGCGACAGAGTATCCAAAATAACTTCCCTGTTGTTGTCCCTTATGGATAACAGGGAGCCTGAGATCTACATTAAATCCGAATGTAACATAAAGCAAGTCAACAAGAATAAAACATACTGTCCACAATGACAAAAATAATTCCATGATTTTTTGTCTGAGAATCCAATTTTGCAAAGTAATTTTTTTTACTTTTTATATTTGTTTGCTAGTTCTTCAACAGTGTCCAGTTATCACTAATTATATTTTTGTTATATTTTTTTCACTTTCAGCAATGAAATACTGAATACTTTCTTAATCCAACTAATATGGCTGCTTTGATTCTGAATAGTCCTTAGATATCACATTGCTTTTAATAGATACCTATTATCATTTTTCTGTAACTTCACATAATTTTACAACAAGGTTGTATAACGTCTCAAGTGGATGAGATAGTTTATCAATATATAAGAGAGGGTACTTCAATCTTTATGGCAGTTTTTCTCAGCAAACTGTGAAACAACACCAAGTCCTATATATATCTCCACAATGTTTCTGCTGTATGTTTTACACGCTCAATAGAGTTCCATATGTTCTCAAAGTTCAAGAATAGTCAGTTCTGTGTTCTCACTACCAATACCAACAGACTCGCAAATTACTTAATTATTTGCATGTTGAACTTTAAGTATAAATCCATCCAATTTTGTTATTTTTGTATTTTTTATTTCTTTGGTTTGTTTAAGTTTTTTTGTTTCTGCCTCAGGGTTGTTAGCTCTGTTATGTCAAAGCAACAAGTTTGCAAGTGTCTTATCCATCTGACTTCATTTGAAGTGCTCCCACAGAATGATTCCTGGCTCCAGATTTCATGTGTCTAAATAATGAAGGATACACATGTAGTAATCAGCTGATTAATATTAACCAATTAGATTTATGCAAATTGAACACAAGTGTGGAGAATGATGGGATATCTGTAGGCTCCTGTTGTGTTTTAAGTATTAACTGGAGGCTATCAGGATTTTCGGTAATAAGCACAATCTTGGTTTGGAGTGGACAGTTAGCTATACCATGATACAAGTAAATACCCTTGCAGAATTATCTAAATAGGCCAGAAATATCTCAGGTGACTGGAAAAAATTCACAAATTTTCAGCTGTATGTGTAAATAATACCTGTCTAAAAAGAATTAAATGGATGTATACTAGAAAGATTTGAAAACTAAAATTTGGAATTTCTTCATTAAATTCTGTTATTTTAATTATAGAAAGAGAGTTTCAGATTACACTGGTTCTGTCTTAGAGATTAATGATGTAGATTAACTAGGATTATCTCTCACTTATCAAGCTTCAAGGGAATCTCTACAAATAAAATGGGAGGAAGTCTTCCTTGATGCGATTAATCCCATATGTCTCTTACTCCCTGACCCTTAAATAATGATTCATAAATCATGACAATTAACCACCAATGACTAAAAAAGAATGAACATGACAAAAACACTTTATTAATTCGAAAATGAATATGCTGTACTTTGGAGCTTGTTGAATAAAAATTTCAAGTGAAATAAATCCTAATTTAGATGGCTCATTGATTAATTACATTTGTGATATTTCTTCAAAGGGTGTTGCATCTGTTGATTTATAGCAATGTAATGTGCCTGGGTTTGTATCTGTCAAGTCGTAAATTGTGACAAGTAGCCATCCTAAAATGATTAATAAATAAATGCTTATATATGATACAAAATTAAGCATAAGATAAAAAATAGATTAAATAAAAATAAGATATAAAAAATAATTTAATTTTGTGAGCTCATAAAAGTGATCAATGACCTAAGCATACTTCTCCCAAGGGATGTGAATCTGTTGATAGTGCAGAATGTAATGTCCCTGTGTTTGTATATCCAAACAGTTACCACTATGTCCAGATTTTAATTAGTCACACTTGCCTTACTGGGGGCACAGATATATCCTGATAAGCTATCTCCTACAAAGTTTGAGACATTTCATATTTCATCACTTAGTTTATAAATCTGTTGCTTCTAACCATATGTGGATTAAATAGTGCTCCTTGTGTAGTCCATCCTGTTTTAATATTTTATGGTTACTAATATCTTCATAAAAATCATCTGAGCAATCCTTGAGATAAAGTTATGAGTTTTCAATTGTTCTTGAATAGAATAAATGTTTTTATAAACTTTATAATAACATCAATTGTTTTTAGTTAGCCTACATTGAGTTGTTGCCAAAGTTTATGTCTAACTTCATTTTACATTTAAACAAGCTCAACAGGATCAATGGCTTTTATAGAGTATTTCATTCACAGGAATTGACAATTGTAAATTACATATGATGTTTATTTATTCTTTGAATAATAACTAGCTTTTTGCGTCATTTCCTACAAAAAACAACATCCTAATAGTAAAATCTTATCATCCAACATAAGTGTTTTATCACTCTCTACTTTTAACATTAATATTGTAAATGGGTGAATATAAATGAAAATAATACAATAATAATAATACAATAGTACAATAATGTACATGTTAAACCAATCCTCAAATCATAAGTAGACAAAATATGTCATATCTGCAAAATATGGCAGACTATATACACAATATGTCATTGTTATGAAATCAAAGAACCACTAAATTCAATCTGAGAGAGACTCTACATGGAAGAAGATACGAGTGAAAATGTTTAGGCACATTTTTGGGATTGACAACTCATTTTTCTTAAAGGTATATGTTCAAAATAAGACCTACCTGAACATGAAAAAATAATAATAAGGCCCTAATATTAAAAATATATACAACTTTTGCATGGAAGGGGGACATGCCACTGGTGGTATATTTCTATTTTAATGTTCATGTCAGTTTAGTTGAAAGTTTGTATTTAACAATGTACTGACTGATATGTCATTTACACAGCTCAATTTTGAAGGAAGTTGCATCAATTTTTGTAAAATTCAAAATAAATCTTATTTTTGGCTTGTATATGCACCCCCCCCCCTGACTGAACACCCCCTTAAATGTGATTGCACCCCCCAGAACCTCCCCCCCCCCCCCGGCCCTGACTGAAAGCTGGCTAAGCCCCTGATTTATATGACATAATCATTCAGTCAATAAAAGATACACTGTGTAATTAGTAAATGAATCTCTTAAAATTAACCATAGAAAAGGGTAGTATATGGATTTCTATTTTTGTTGTATTTCTGGTGAATCACACAAGAACCACAAATGGAGTGGGTTGACATGTTAAAGACAATTACCAGAAAACATGACAAATCTCTGGAAATCCAGGTCATAATTTCCTTCAACATTGGCTTCATGTGTCATTCATGTGTGATTCGTGAGTGGGCTGTAAAACAATCACATCTCACTTGAAAACAATACCATTTCCTTCAACAATTCTTCTGTATTAGTGACTGTTTGTAGGTGTTCATATATTATTCTAGGATTTTTTCTAAACCTGAGACTTTCGGGTTGTGGTTTTGTGCTTATAGCTTTTTTGTTCTACAAGTTTTACCATCTGTTTTCTTCTTATTAAACATGTGTAAACAAATTAACAACAAACATGTTCTTTCACTTGACTTTTTCAGGCTGAGCTCATTGAGAAAATAATTGACTCAACCAACCCACCCTTTGAGAAGAGTTTCACTTCAAGTCTCTATAAGACGCTCTTTCAACAAGAAGTAATTTTTTAATAAAATAATCATTTTACAAACAAATATTTCAAAAGCTATTAATCTGTCCATTAGAACCAATTCTTTAAGTAAGATTTATCAGTTCTGAATGAACAAGATGCATGTCATCTACCCATTCATAGTTGGCATTCATTTCATATTTAAATTCTTATTGGAATTTAATAAAAGTTACCTCAATGCAGTCTTAAAACCTTCATCCTCAGAGTATAGCATTTTACCATTAGCTTCTAAATGTCAGGGTAGCCCCAATTTAAAAATACCCCCTCCATGTATTTACATTAATCAATCACTTAACAAATCTAATACATCTCTTGGTTATGTTCTAAGCAGTTGAAGGAACAATGCATGACCATAATTCTAAATACAAAGTTCAGTTCAAAAATGTTTTTGACAGTTTTATTATGCCATGCATTCCTATAAATAACTCTAAAACTATAATAAAAAATGTTTAAGTTAAGGTCTCATGTCAAGTAGGACCTCTAACCTAAATTGTTGTCAAGAAAATTAAGATTGACAAAGTTTTACCTAAAACACTTAACAATTACTAACAAATAAACATACTACATAAGTGCCAGTTCCAGTATATACCTTTTTGACACTGGGACCTAAGATATTTTGAGGTGTAATTTTTCATATTTTTGCCTTAAAACACACTTATTTCAAGTCATTTCCAAAAGAGAAATAGTGTGATATTTGAAAATAAAATGTTCCTAAATTTTCAAGAGAAATATAATGGTTGATGATATTGACAATATTTCTTAATCTGTTACAAGAAAATAAGAGTAAATGTATCAAAACACATAAATTCCAAGAGTAGATACTGTAAAATGTAATGAAAATAAAAGCCAGTATTAGGTTTAGACAGATAGTACTAATTAGAGAGCCTATAAAAACCACTGAAATGCATACTCCGGGTGATCTGTTTACTTTAGGATAAAAAATATCAACACAGGCTATTAGGGTGCTTTAACCATGGCTTGGCCCTGTTAGAATCCTTCAACAGTTTATATGGTGCATTTCAACACATTTTGGACAGTTTATACAAAAGCATATGAAGATAGAGAGAGGACACATTTTCTTACTAAGTTCAGACTTTTTAAACATTAATTTTTAAAGTGCTAAGATAATTTCAAGAGATATTTATTTTTAAAATATTGCCGTTTAGCTTTAAGGTCAACCTGACATTATATTGGGTAATATTCGGAAGTACTTAGAAGAAAACATGATCCACCCTTCCTTGATCAAATTGATGTTTATAAGCAAAACACTTTTACCATCATTATAAAGCCAACAATATACAATAAAACCTGTCTAAGTGGAACACCTTTGGTACCTCTAAAAAGTGTTCTACTTGGGAGTTCATTTACCATTATGTCAGTTTGTCTTGGGACTGAAATGTGTTCCACTTTACAGGTTTCACTGTACAGTAACACCTCTCAATTCCTAACTCTTCTAAATGTGAACACTTTTTCTCCATCTCAATTTTGTATTCTCCAAATGATTACCATGTTAAAATTATATACTTTTTGCCAGTGTATTGTCATTTGGATTAGTCAGGTTTTACATGAAGGATATAAATGCCATTAATCATTGTTTGTTTTTATTACTTGGCACTCAACATGACTTTGAAACATGATTAGAATTGACACATCCCAATGTAAAGTCCTGTATAGCGACTGTAGCAATAAATGTAATCGAGTGGCTTCATCAGCATTACAACAAGCAGGTATATTCTGTGGAAAATTCAGAAATTATTTGCCACTTTGTTAAAAATGTGTTTCTGTCAAAAAAATGAAATATTGATCTATTTTGAATAAAATTAAGTTAGGAATTTACACCTACATATGAAGGATCATGTATATGTATCATACAAGTTATACCATATATCTCCAAGCATCTTATCTACAAGATACAGAATTCAAATAGAATAACTAACTAAGTTGATAAATGGAGCTGAGGGTCAGATGAAAGAGATGATTTGTAATGTTTAACTAAAATAAAGGTGTGGGAGAGAAAACATTTAATATTTCACAAAGATGAACAACAATCATAGAATAGAATAGGAAACACTACTTACCTGTTAACAAAGTACATATAAACAGCCCACATAAATGATATATTACTTCATTCAGAAAACATTTTGGAGTAAATCAAATCTTACAAAGAACTTAAATATTTTCGAATTCAAATATTTCCTGTTATTGTACATATAGTTACTGTATTATATATAATTACATGTATATAGTTAGACTTAATATCATGAAACCATCTGTCAATATGGAATATCAGCTCTAAGGCACAAAACCTCCCAAAAAGCAATCTGATTTATCAGAGTGAATTGAATTCTAAAGTTTATGAGAGCCAAGTCAGTGTATGTTCTCTTCCAATATATCCCAAGTGACAATTGTTGTTTGTGATATTATAACAGCATTTAATATATTTTACTTCATAGATTTGGCAAATTGATGCTCTCCCAATAGGGGTCACAGATAGTGAAATATTAAAGGCAATAAAAATGTCAACATTTCCACAGACTGTTTTTCTATATTCTGCATAAAAGAGGAGTTTTAAATTGAATAAAACATCCAGTTTTTGTTTTCGAGATACAACTGAATATAACAAGATAATTTCTCTGATCATAAATCTAACAAATACCTTTTCTACTAATCTAGAATCACTATATCTATAATAAAAGAATCCAAGAGCTAGTGATGTAAAAAATTGTTTACCAATTAATGAAGTTCATGGTAGATGGATTCTGACACTAACCAAGAAAATCTAGGCATATGATTTTGAGTTAATCATGTTTCTTTGTGACAAAAAAAGTATTAAAACGGTAGACACCTAACCTATCAATTTTGACCAAATTATATGTGGTTCTGGGACTTCAGTTCTCTCTAAAATTTGATCTTGTATACTGAGTGCCATTGGAAAATACATAAGTTCTGAATAGTAGAAGGTATGCCTGTAAGGGAGGGTGCGGGTGTGCAGAAGAGCAGTAATAGAATAATTGAAACAAACAGATGATCCAGTGTAGCATTATATTGAGGTGGCAGGGGTGGTGTTATTGAGAAAATAACTAGACTTTAAAAAAGAATGATAGGTTTCAAATCTGACAAGAGACATATAAATGAAAACAACAGGTAAATTATTGGAATTTTTAACATTGAAACAGTTGTAAAATTCTTCAAAACAACAGGCGCTTTTGCTGAAAACAACCAGATAAAGTCACCTGTTGCCAGCCTCTAGTAAAATAAAAAATGAATAAATCATTGAACAGAAAACAAGGCAGTAACATGACAAAATATCACCACTTGGTTTCAAAAATGTGACAATTTGTTACAGATTCTGCAACCCGATATGTTACAAAAAATGTTGTTACTATTTTTTGGTGATAACAAATAACAATAACAAAAACTTTTTTTGCACATCCTTTCATAAAACAACAAGGGAAGTCACCATGACATTTGTAGTGAAACACCCACATATCCAAATATTAACTTAACTTCATTCATAATAGGATCTGTTATTTATTACGTTGACCCGGAAGGTAGCAGTTGCCATCATTTTACAATTGTAGTAAAATATCATAAGCAGTTATACAAAACAAACAAAAACATAACTCAGAGAAAAAATGACTGCACTTACATGTAGAGCGCCATCTCCAGGGAAGATGATGGATTGCTTGTCATGTCTCTCCAGTTCTTGGGCATTTTGGGGACGAACTCTGAAACAACATGATTTATTATCTATTACTATAATATAATTCAAATTATTTTTATTATCACATATTTAATCCAGGTAGGGCACATCAAATCATCAAATTTTGTTTCTTTAAAAAAGCTTTATCAACACTCTGAATCCCTTGATCTGTCTTAATCCAACCATAATAACTGAGAATTGGATCGATCAAGATACAACGACCAAATCGAAATAGCATACACTGAATGATGCTTTCATAAGTACCTGTATACTGGCACTAATTTTATAATGGAACTCCCTTTTTCTACCTAGGTTCTGACACCCAGGGTCACCATTGCATATTTGGTCTTTACTGCTTTCAGCAGACTCCAAAACCATTACATGTCCTAATTTGTTTTTACCCATATATTATTAAATAAATGAATTATTTTGACACTTTTATATGCTGCTCTTATACCCAGAATACTTTCTAAGCAGAACAACTTGACTTTAAGTTTGGTAACTTTGGAAAACTTGGCTATACAGCACAAGATCAGACAATTATCCCTCCATAGGATGATGAGAAAAAGGTGCTGTTACATGTTTACAGTAAAAGCTGTTTATAATGAATGATATAAAGATCTCTAACATGCAACAAGTCAAAACAGGCTTGATTCAAACCTTATTTGCTGAAAACTGACAATAAAATTTGAAAAAAATTGCTCAAGTTATTTCAAAATTTAATAAAAGAAATAAGTAATTAGCATATTTATATAAATTTATAGGGAAAGAATCATATATTTATTTAGGTAGAAAAAACTATGATGTAATTACATTAAGCTTATAGTGGAATCAATTTATGAGTTTATCTTATAATTCAAATAAAATATAGAACAGACTTTACCTTAGGCATTTTACACTACACATACGTTTAACATTAGATATCAATGAAACATTTTATGGTTTGAACATATGTAGAACCACACACTTATGGATATGATTACAAGAAATACACTCAAGTGGTCTGGGGAAATCTGTTCCAGTCAGTCTGGGCCTTTGTGAAAAAGTTACAATATACTAGATGCCAGCAGAAATAATCTTGATTTACTTCATTAAATATTCAAAATTTAGTATAAGGGATATTATATTTGAAGTCTGTAAAATTGCATCTGAAAATGTGGTTTAAGGAAGTATTTTCAAACTTTGAAAATTTAATCTTCTTTGAAAATATGACTTCTGGGTCGAGGAGATTCCTCATAGACCCCATGTTACAAAATCACAAAAAGTGAAATATCTTTTCTTGTGTTGGCCAGATAATATTTTGTTTTATTAAACATATTTTCGTTTGTATAATAATCAGACACATAATGATTATATGAAAATCGATCCACTTAAACTGATAATATTCAAGTTTAAAGGGAACTTTCTTATATATCTGCCATATGAGACCCTTGTGGTCATACTTAGATATTAGGTGCTAGCTAGAAATTCCATGCACTGGTTTTCCTAAATATTTGACTTCCATAAAATTTTCAATAAAACCTTCAGAATAAAAAGTGTTTAATGGAAATACAACAATTATGACGCATATCAGTGTTGTAGAGTTTCAACTGCCATTTTATCATGAGGGCCTAAACATAAGTACTTTGGATAATTGTCACAACTTCTGAATGATTGTGATTTGTGAATGGTTATCTTCTAACTATATTGCTCTTATGTCAATAATACTCAAAATTGCCAAATTACATAGGCGCCGACATTCCTAAAATTAGCAAAAGAAAACAACTCAAATAGCAGCACCAAATTAATAATAAATACAGCATCATTTCTCAATTATAAAATATTTCGAATGGCTTGAATTTTAGGATATGTAAAGATTCATTTTTAGGGGGTTATCGCAGCCTCTTCGTTTGAAAGTTCATTTTCTGATTAAAGTTGTCCCTTTTTATACTTATAACATACTCCAAGGCAAGCTAAATGCATATTGTTTTGTGTTGTTTTTATGCTGTTTAAACTCAAATTATTTTAATATGGTTTAAAGAGGTTGCTTAGTCTCACTGCTTATAAAGTTCTGTTCAGTATATGTTTCACTAGAATTAAATGAGTTATCCTAAGCATGCTTAAAATGTCATACCCTGAGACCAAGTTTAGTCATAAATATTACCCTCTTAATAGGACAAATAAACAGTTTTGATGCTAAGAAGATCTTAATGAACCCAAATGAATGAAGGTAGCTGAAATGACCGTTCATATGAAACAATTGCCAGCTACTTATAAAGCATTAAATTGTGCCAAATCAACCCTCTGAAAGGGTAACACTTATCCTATCCTAAGCATGTATATAATTTGCAAGGCTTGCTGGAGGCATATCTCAGGGGTGTTATTTTTGTGTTGTTTATACTCAAAATGTTTCTCTTTCATCAGTAATAAGCTGACATCTTGCATCAAGATCTGATCATTTCTCACAGATGTTAAACTAATCCATTAAATAGAACCATACTCTCATATGCACCCCCCCCCCCTCAAATATTTGAAGTTCCATTCCATTCACAAAGTCAATATTTATGCTTCTAGTAGTAATGTTGAGTTGGATGATTCAAAATGTTCTCTTTTGAAGATTTTTTCCATATTTGATTCAAATTACAAAGGACATAATAGAAACAATTTTTATCTACATATACACACTAGGGCAGAGCATTTGTACTGAAAGGAGCATTTTCAGTACAAATATGTACTGAAAAATGTACTAGTTTTGTTTCAGTACAAATTTAAGTATATTTTTGTACTGAAAAATGCACTGAATTTTTTTCAGTATATTTTTCAGTGCAAATTCATGTACTGAAAAATATTCTGAATTTTAAGTACAAATTTAAGTATAAATATGTACTGAAAAATGTACTGAATTTTAAGGACAAATTTAAGTGCAAAAATATACTGAAAAATGCACTGAAAATTTAAGGATAAATTTAAGTACAAATATATACTGAAAAATGTACTTAAATTTAAGTGCAAAAGTCAGTATAAAAATGTACTGAAAAATATACTGAAATTTAAGGATAATTTTAAGTATAAATATATGCAATGAGAAATATTTGTGCCCAATAATGGAAAGAGAAAACGTAAATGTAAGGCATACTTTATAAACTCTAAATCACTCAAAAAGTTCTTAGAATGGTGAAAAAGTGCATGATTTTAAAAGAATTTTTGGCCGGGGGGGGGGGGGGGGGTTCGCTTGGACCCCGGAACCCCCCCCCCCCCAGGAATGCTATTACATTATGAAATTATTTTGGATGCTTCCTTTATAGCAGACTTAAACCAAACTTAAAAGAGTCTCTCTGTAATCAGGTTTGTTTTGCCTTGTCAAAATATTTTGTTTTGTTAATGGATTAATAAAGTTTCTTAAGACACATCCTTTAAAGCAGACTCTAATCAAACTGGAGAGGCTAGGTTTACTTTAATCAAGTGTTTTCCTTTTAATAAGTTATGTTTTTGGATTTAATTATTTAAGACGCATCCTGTAATAATATCTGATTGCATTTTCTCCATCAATAAATTTCTTTTTAGCCCAATCAAACCTATCAAATATAATGCATATATAAGGGTTATGTACTGGGAGGTTTTGGATACCCATATTTCCTGAGGGATAAACCCTTTATTTAAAACTGATCGTACATAACACGTGTATTCCATACCTTTTGAGGTTTCTAGATACATTCTACCTTATTAAGTTCTAAAATTCAAAAACATTAAAGGTACACATTTTCTCAGTCTTAAAAATAAGTTTTTCATGAGATTTCCACTCATATTGCTTGAGCAAATTAATTAATTGACATCAAAATTAAAATATATAACATGAACATAGAACCTCATTTGTTAGAGTATAGCAAAATCCATGGTATAGATGTCAAAGTCAGGAAGATGTCGTAATTCAAAATCTAAGTATATTTTTCAGTATAAATTTACACTTAAATATGCCCTTAAATTTCAGTATATTTTTCAGTACATATTTGCACTTAAAATCACACTTAAATTTCAGTATATTTTTAAGTACATATTTGCACTTAAAATCACACTTAAAATTCAGTATATTTTTCAGTATAAATATATACTGAAAAATGTACTTAAAATTTCAGTACATTTTTCAGTACATATTTTTACTGAAATTTGCACTGAAATTTTAAGTATATTTTTCAGTACATATTTATACTGAAAAATATACTTAAAAATTCAGTACATTTTTCAGTACATATTTGTACTGAAAACGCTCCTTTCAGTACAAATGCTCTGCCCTAGTGACATGTATATTCTTTTATTGACAACATCAAAACATAAACATAAGTAGACCAAGAAATCTTGACGAATACAATAACGTTTAACGAAAACTAAATAATAAATAAATTAACATTACATACCACAACAAAAAATATAATAATAAAAAAGTACTGTATGTGAGTAATAATATATGCCTTTAATTTCATGGATGTTACTTTCTCTTATGAACATATTCATTTAGGTGGGATCATATTCTCTCTCTCACTGGCTATATATCGTAATACTGTATAATCACTGAATGAGCTAAGCAAAAGTTAGATATTCTGTACTCCTGGTAATTTTTGTGTGCAACTATATTTTGCGCTTTTTATGAGAAATATTGCAAAATATACTAGCCAAGAAATTCCAATAGTACTTATTCACAAAATGTGATAGTCGTGAAATTCTCTTGAATTTATTTTACTCAATGTTGACAATATTTTTGTCCAAGGATAGGCAATAAAAGGTTGGAAGGTGTTGTTTTCCTAATGTTGTTACCGGTTCTAAAAGATTTTGATCAAATAAAGTAAGAAAAAACTGGTACAATTATGAGAAGTCACAAATCTGCAAAAATTAATAGCCGCGAAATTTTGAAACACTGAAAATGAGTGAAAATAATAGCCAAGATATTTCAAAGTCACAAAAACGCAAAATATAATAGCATTCATATTTGTTGGGGTACAGTAAATCCCAGTGAATCTTCACTTTTATTCAGTGAACCTCTGAAGATGTGAA